TTTTAAAAGTTTTGTTGGGTTAGTGTGGGAGTGATCATTTGGTTCACATTATAGAAAAAGTGTGAGAACCATGATGTTATTTTGGCAACACTACCTGACCTTTGTCAGACGACAAATGCTAGGACATCTAGTCAACATGTCTAAAATAGCAGTATCCTCTAGCTTTTCCAGCATGTATCCGTTGGGGGAAGTAGTTCTGGAAGCAAACTGAATGTTAGTTAAATATTTATTTATAAAATCAGAGTTAGGGAGAGACAGAGAGATCTTCCATTCACTGGTTTACTCCCTAGTGCTGGGCCAGGCCAAAGCCAGGAACTTCATTCTGGTCTCCCACTTAAGTGTCAGGGACCCAAGTACTTTGGCCATCTTCAGCTGCTTTTCACAGGCCATGAGCAGAGAACTGTCTCAGAAGTGGAGGAACCAGGACATGAACCGGCGCCCTTATGGGATGCCTTCGTTGCTGGCAGCAGTTTAACCCACCGTGCCACAGTACTGGCACCTATTAATTTCATATACGCTTCATAAGTCTGTTTCATAATAAGTTCACACTTAACCTTTGTATTTCTCTCAAATCTTTTAATTATTCAGTGAAATGTTATCCTGTAACTTTGAACTCCAATGTAGTTAAATGACTTTAAAAAGAGTGCTTGGTTGTTTTAATAGGGAACCGTATTGATAAAGACTGCTGAAGAATTGATGAATTTTAGTAAGGGAGAAGAAAATCTCATGGATACACAAGTCAAAGCTATTGCTGCTACTGGTGCAAATGTCATAGTAACTGGTGGCAAAGTGGCAGACATGGCTCTTCATTATGCAAATAAATACAATATTATGTTGGTGAGGTAAGAGAAAGCTGCATTCTGTTAATGTGTAAGTTTTTTCTGGGGGTAGGGGAATAATGAAACCCTAAATAAATTGAAACTTGAAGGTTGTTAATAAAAGGTAATTAGAAGGTATTAGATCAAGTAGCACAGGGCCTTAAACTAGGGCAGGGGTGTGGAACCTACAAAATCATTTGGTTTGGCTCTGCCAAAGCAGCCATAGACAGGGCTTGAAACTCAGTAGATCTGTATAGCTGGCTAATTTTTAAGTTGATAATTTTGTATGGCCTACATACGATGTTAACAAATACCCAGGTGGTCCTTGGCAGAAGAAAAGTTCCCCACCCCCATCTAGGCGAACAGGAAATTCTTGTGAGAAACTTTCATTTAAGCGGAAGGCTGAAGGACCAGTTAACAGATACTATTTGAAAAGAGAAAGGGAAAAGTATTTCTGTCTAAAGGAACAACTTGTTTAAGAGACCAGACGTAAACCTGGTGCATTGTCTGTCACCTGCAGTGCCCTTTTTTATTTTCTGCAGAGACAAGCGAAGAGGTCTTCCGTTCACTGATTCGTTCTCTAAATGCCCACAACAGCCAGGGCTGGGCTAAGCTGAAGCTAGAAGCCTGGAACTCTGGGTCTCCCACATAGGTGATAAAGCCCCAGTTACTTGAGCCTTCACCTCTGCCCCCCCAGGGTGTGCATTAGAACGAACTGGAATTGGAGGTAGACCTAGGACTCAAACCTTAAAATTCATGAGCACATTTATGAGTGTACTTCAGAAATTTCACAGAAAATGGAACTAATTATTATAAGCTTGTATAATTATAAATTACACGAAATTTTTGAAGTGCATATACAGAGTCTGCAAGAAATAAATAGAAAAATATGTTTTAATGAAAAATATATATGAATTCCAAAAATTTTTTTACACCACATAGTAAACCTTTTAGTTCCAGTTTTCTACAGACTTTTTGAAGTACCTTTTATATGGGCACACCAGGCAGTTTTCTTGTCCGTTTCTACCTGCCACCATTTTTAGCAGCTATGCCATTGTACTAAGTTACTTCACTGTTCCCTCAACTTTCCCAATTCTAGAGGAACGCCGTATAGCACAGACTTGAGATGTGGCATTACTGGCAAACTGAGCAGAGTCAGGAATCAGTTTCTGGGCTACAGCAGTCAGTGCTGTGAAGACATGTTCTGAATCAAAAGCTGAAAGAATGACATGAAGATTGGTGTATGGTTTCCTGTGTTGTCTAATCTCTGCAGTTTAAATGCTGCATATCTCATGGAATTAAATCTACTGAGTCTTTCTTTTTTTAAAGGCTGAACTCAAAATGGGATCTCAGAAGACTGTGTAAAACAGTTGGTGCTACAGCTCTTCCTAGATTGGTATGTATTTTAGGAAAACATTAAAGATACTTGAGCCTGCTTGTATTTTTGCTTTAATAATCACTTTCTTACAGACTCCTCCTGTCCTTGAAGAAATGGGCCATTGTGATAATGTTTACCTCTCTGAAGTTGGAGACACACAGGTGGTGGTTTTTAAGCATGGTATGTAGCAGTGGTAAAATGTGTTTATATAAGTGTGTGGTGTTTGTCTCTCTGATTTACTCGAGTATGTATTTTAATCTTTTTATTTATTTATTTATTTTTTTTTTTACCAAATATGTTTATTAACAGAAAAGGAAGATGGTGCCATTTCCACCATAGTACTTCGAGGCTCCACGGACAACCTGATGGATGATATAGAAAGGGCAGTAGATGATGGTGTTAATACTTTCAAAGTTCTCACAAGGGTCAGTATTAACAGTAATCATCTATAGTAATTTGTAAGGTCTTAAAAACACAGTTGGCAGAATCCTGAACATTTTGAGAATTAACAGTATTTAAGCACTTGTTGCTTATGTAATAATTTCGTGAAATTATTATGCAAATAGGAAAGGCTATATTTAAAAAATGATTTTAAAGGGCTATCGATAGTTGTTTCTAATTATGATTTACCTTCAGTCGCTTAAGCATTTGTTTTAGTGCTTTTCTCATTCTTTACTTTGGTCCCCTTTTCCATATATCAAACACTGTACAATAAGAAAATTTGCTCTGATCACTGATTTTTTTTTTTTTTTTTTTTTGCCAAGTTTGTGATTAGATTTTGAGTAATGGCTCCTGATTGGAAACTCAAATCTGGTTAGAGTTCAGGAATTTAAAAAATCAAATAACAGACTTTTCTTTTTGTAGTGACATTTTTGATTGATTAATTTGTTTGGGCTACTTATAGGATAAACGTCTTGTCCCTGGAGGTGGAGCAACAGAGATCGAATTGGCCAAACAGATCACATCATATGGAGAGGTATAGCTTTTTCTGTATATCTTGACTGACTTTACATTACCTGAATAAAATGGCAATTATAATTGTTTTGTTTTAGACATGTCCTGGACTTGAACAATATGCTATAAAGAAGTTTGCTGAGGCGTTTGAAGCTATTCCCCGAGCTCTGGCAGAAAACTCAGGAGTTAAGGCCAATGAAGTAATCTCTAAACTCTATGCAGTCCATCAAGAAGGAAATAAAAATGTTGGATTAGACATTGAGGTATTTAAGGGAAAAAAAACTATATATTATTGTTTTATTTTGTGAATGCTTAAACTAAAAATGGAAGCAGTAATAGAAATTTCAGTTTTTTTGAAAGGCAGAGACTGTTTTCACTGGTTCACTCCCCACAAGCCCACAATAGTCAGGGATAGGCCAGGCAGAAGCCAGGAGCCCAGAATACAATTCACGTGAGTGTCATGGCCCCAAGTACTTGAAGTAGTAATTACTGCCTCCTAGGGTGAGCATTAGCTGGGAGCTGTATTAGAAATGTGGTAACTGGGACTTGAACCAGGCACTCCAATATGTAGTTACATATTATGTATATTTATCGTATATTTCTATTTCATGCACATTTATTAATGTTTTCCATCTTAATGTTGAATTATTTGAGAGATAGCTAGCTCCCATCTGCCAGTTCATTCCCCCAGTTGCCTTCAACAGCCAATCACTTGATCCATCCCTGCTTCTCAAGGTCTTCCTTAGCTGGAAATGCAAACCAGGGCACACCAGTAAGGGAGGCAAGAGTATTAACCAGTAGGACAAATGCCCACCCTTAGTTATTTTTTAGTACAGTTTAAAGAGCCATGAGGTTTTGTTATTGAGTATAAGCAGTTTCACTTAATTTATAATGAAGGATGAAAATTGTTTTGTGTTAACAGGCTGAAGTTCCTGCTGTAAAAGACATGCTGGAAGCCGGTATTTTAGATACTTATCTAGGAAAATACTGGGCTATCAAACTGGCTACGAATGCTGCAGTCACTGTACTTAGAGTGGATCAGGTGAGCAAAAAGTGAAATTTAGATCTTTAAGCTAGTTTTTTTATGGTTCAAGAGGAAATTTTCACAGAACTTGAATATAGCACAGTTCCAATTGTATTCAAAGGAGTACTTGTTTACCATCATATGTTAGAGATGTTAAAGTATCCTTGAAAAATGTCTTTTTTTTTCCTATTAGCTTTAGAATGTATGAATATATTACAGCTAATTAAAAATGAAGCTGTCTGCAATATAAACCTTTTTAAATTGGTAAGGAATCTGTGGAATAAACCGGATTTAGATTCAGCTTTCAAGTTTGGCCTTAGAACCCCTTTGTACAAGTTATCTAGAGAGTTTAATTATATAATATTAAAGTGGAATATGGATGCAGGTATTGCAGACCACCTGTTTGTAGTTCATAATTATTTTTCACAAAGGTATTTTCTGATCATCTGTTTGTAAGTACTTAAAATTGCTGAGGGCATGGTTTATGTCCTTTAAGTGAAAATCATTCTGAATTAAACTTGAGAGAAGTAATGAGTTCTAGGAATAAATTGGCAAAGAGGTAACTAGACTTATTCCTAAGCACAATAAGGACCTCTTGGTTGTAATTAGATGTATAGCAAAATGGGTTTTTCTTCAGTATAAGGAAGAACCTTTTTATAAATGGAACTGGATATCCAGTTACAACTCATCAGAGGTAAACAGAAACTGTATGTTTGTGTACCAGATTTATCAGTGGGAGTTTCTTTACCAGCTTTTGGCATTAGATTATTATTTTTTAAATAAAAGTAATAGCCTAAGGAAATGTTTGTTCTAGATATAGAGAACATTTGTTAAGTGAGGCACTTTTTGAATGTCAGTTATCCAAACAAGATGATAATTGATAACCTTTTGTCACAAAAGCTTTTCTTGGTTTTAAACTGGAAACCCTGTTTTATACTAGGGGAGAAAGTATTTATCTGAAGAACTGTTGATCCGTTTGTGTTAGTGTCTTTAAAGCGAGTCATACCTGATTTTGTGCAGTATATATTCTGGAAAGGGACTTGTAAATCAAGTTTAAGCATCCGATGGTATAGTAGGGTCTGATTTAACTTTTGTTCAAATTGTGTATTTCACCAGTTCCCCATTTGGTTCCCAAGCATCAACATCACCTATAAAAACTTGTTAAAAATACAAAATCTCAGACCTCACTCCAGCTCCAATGAGTCTGAAACTTTGGGGAGGCCCAGCAATCTGTTTTAGTAAGCCCTCCAAATGATTCTGATGCCTCCTAAAGTTTGAATGAAACTATTTTTAAATCAAGGTGCCGTACTTGGGTTCTAAAATTATGCTTGATGCCTTTAGGTAATCTTTATTATTAGCGGCTCAGAGTTCTACGTTTTCAAAGCTAACTAATTGTTTAATTTTGCCTCTCCCAAATAACTTGAGGCCAAAGCCAGTACCATTTTAACATAAATCCCTTTAAAATGTTGAATGGTTATATTGTCCTTGAGAAATGCAAGGTTAGCACATTTTAGGTAACTAAGAGAAGTTTGTAATAGATTTTAAGTTACGAGGAAACTTGGATTTTGTTTATGGACAGACATTTCCTGCTGCTTGAACGGGTCTCATTTATAGGTACTAGAAAATGTCAGAGTTGAACTTTATATATAATATAATAATGTATCAATTACTTTAGATTATAATGGCAAAACTGGCAGGTGGACCTAAAGCTCCTAAACCACAAGGAAATTGGGATACAGATGCTTGGCAAGATGAACCTCACATTTAAATAGTAAATCAGGTGCCAAACTGATTGATACCAGTGATGCATGCAGATACTTTCGCATTCAGCATACTGAGTTATGAAAGTGCATGTCTTGGAATGTTCTTCACTAATCTGTGCAGATGTTGCTGTTATCCATAAAGGCAGGGAATTTTTTCTCAAAATGCTACAAGTTAATTTCTAACAGGGAAGCTAGCAATCTTTGTGCTTTAGGGTTTCGTGTATAATTGATTGCTTATGTCAATAATTGATTATGTATGTCACGATGATTGCCTAATTTTAAATCAGGCTATTCAAAAAAATACTCCCCATTGCAGAGGTTGAGTTTATATAAACATAACTTTTGTGGGTTTTTTTTTTTTTTTTTTTGTAATTATGTAGATCATCATGGCAAAACCAGCTGGTGGACCCAAGCCTCCAAGTGGGAAGAAGGACTGGGATGATGACCAAAATGATTGAATGGCTTCATTTTTACTGTGGGTGAAGGCCATATTTGTAGTAGTACTATAGGAAATGCCTGATGTTTTCTTATTTTCCCTAAATTAAGAAGTGTTTTTGTGTTTATATATCATCAGCTGGATGATGTAATAAAGGTGTTAACTGTCAAAGCCTCACCATTGTCTGACTACTGTTACTGGATCCAAATGACCTGTTTGTTTCAGCCTTGTTAATTACGTTAGCTGTGGGACTTAGAGCAAGTCAGTTAAGTAGTTTGAGGCCTGTTTGTCATGCTGCTTGTTTTTAAGTTATTGGGATCCAGCCCTGCTCAGATAGTTGTTACATGTTGTCTGCACTATTGTCTGTAGCTGCTTTCAACACAGGAGTGGCACAGTGGAGTAGCAGAGAGAACAAATGGGCTCACAAAGCCTAAAATATTTACTGTCTGGCCCATTATAGGAATAATCACTAACCCTTGGACTAGATTTCCCTAGCTCTGGAAATCCTAAAAGTTGAGGCAATGTGTTCCAATAAGAATGATTTGTTGAATAGAAGACATTCTAGTAGCACAGATATAAAGGCACTCATGATATAACTGAAAATCCATCTCCTTGACATATATGAGTTAAGTAGATCCAGTTATAATCAATAAGTCAGTACTGGAAAAACAAAGAACATTGCATTATACTGATTTAATAGGACATAGGCACTGTATTTGTTGATCGATCATAGTAGGTCCCTGAATAATACTGTTTGAAACTGTTTTTTGTATTCTTTCAAAGGAATTTTAGCATATGGCTGACTGGGTCTTACATAAACTCAACAGTACTAGGAATGATGTGCATCTCATTTTTGCTGCAGCAAGAGTTCACTGTACATGAAACCATTAAAGTCAATACAACTTAAAATCTTCTAAGTAATAAAACAAGTTTTGGAGTTAAGTCAGTTTATTGATGCATTGTAACCCACCACCCATAGTAAGCATAGAGGATTTAAGTAATTCAGAATTTCCTTTCCAGAAAATGGAAGCAGGAATAAAAACCACTGTGACGATACAAAACCATTGTAAATCTTTATAGTTATTTTTCCCTTCAATATTTAAACATGATTTCTTCTGGCATGTATTTAATGTTAAGTAAACATGATTTAAATAGTCTTTACTTTTTTATTGTTGTTATTACAGCCATTATAAAAGCCAAAAATGTGTTTCCAGAGAAAGTGCTTTTTATATTGTTATAGTATTCTTTCATAAAATAGGAGGTACGCTTGTGAGTTTAGGACTTTAGTTGTAGGCACAGCTTGCACATGTGTATCACTGATGTGAAACCACTGCCCTTTGGTTGACTGCATTTCCAAACCTGTCCAAAAAAAAAAAATAGAAAAGTAAATAATTTTTTTTTGTTTTGCTCTAATCTATTTAAAATTCCAATTTTCCAAGACCTCTTACCTTGTGGAATATCACCATGAAGAACAAGATTAGAGAGATGACTATTGGCAGTTCTTGCCTTGGCATAGGCAGTATAATGTCCTGACCTCATAGTGCCACTGTGTTCAACAACTCCATATAAGGAATACAGTACCCTTGTATTTTCTTCAGCAACATTCTTTAAAAATGAATATAATCCAAAAGTTAGTTCTATTCCCATTTATACATATGCCATTGGCAAAACAAGTTTACAGTTAACATTTACTTTCAGAAGGTAGAAATCATTCATGAATCTGAACTTCACTATTTTCTCCCAACTCTTCTCAGCCTACTGAAGATATTTCTGTTGTCACTGTTAGTTTTTTGCTGGTTTTTTGGGCCACTTATAATCAGTTACCTGGTGCAGTCACCAGAAAACTCAATTTGCCAAGAAAAGTTTCTCTAGTAGCTCTAAGGTAAGTCCAAAATACCTGAATCCTAGATATCCTAGTACTTGCCCAAAATGTAACCCTCAAGAAAGAGTAGACAGCATTCAGATTATGTCAGAAACCATCCATACAGCCAGCACTGGAGTACAGAGGGTAAAGCCACCCTGTGATGCCTGCATCCCAGATGGCACCAGTTCCTGTCTCTGCTCCACCACTTCCAGTCTAGCTCCCTGCTAATGCTGGGAAAGCAACAGAAAATAGCCCAAGTGTTTGGGCCCCTGCCACCCATATGGGAGACCCAGATAAAGCTACTTGCTTTGGCATGGCCCAGTCCCAGCTGTTGTCTCCATTTGGGGGACTGAACCAGCAGATGGAAGACTTCTCTGTCCCTTTCTTATTAACTCTTTGGGAGCAGGAGATGGGAGGGTTGTGGGTGGGAGGGAAGTTATGGGGGGAAAAAGCCATTGTAATCCACAAACAGTACTTTGGAAATTTACATCTACTAAATAAAAGTTTTAAAAAAAAAAAAAACCTACGTTTTCAGATGCTGTATAGGAAGTAAGCCTTATTCAAGCATTCATTTTCTTAGTGTTTTTCTTTTTTTTAACTTTTATTTAAAAGAGTTACAGAGGCAGAAAGAGAGAGAGAGGTCCTCCATCTGCTGGTCCACTCCCCAAATGGCTACAAGGGCCAGAGCTGGGCTGATCTGAAGCCAGGAACCAGGAGCCTACTCCAGGTGTCCCACGTAGGTTCAGAGGCCCAAGGACTTGGGCCATCCTTCACTGCCCTCCCAGGCCACAGCAGAGAGCTGGATTAGAAGTGAGCAGCCAGGACCTGAACTAGCACACATGTGGGATGCCAGCACTGCAGGCAGTGGCCCCCGAAACAGCCTTTGAGGTGATGATATGGTTTCCTTGATGACCTGACAATTGGGCAAATTTAGAGTGAGTATAAATACCTAATTCAAGTGATGCTGGCAGATAATAAGAACAATGCATTGAATCTGACAAATCCATAAATGCACTCTGTGTCTCGAATAGGATTTCTTCTTTCTGGTGTTCTTACAGCATCTCCCTTCTGTGAGTTGGGTGCCACTCATTTCCTCTGTTGGTGGAAATGGGAGGGAAGCAAAACAACCAGTTTCCCATCTGCTGACCCACATCCTCCCACCTTGAAGGACTGCAACCAGGCCGCTGAATGTTAGTGTGCATCCCAAGTCTGAGTCCCTTGGGGGTCCTGCTATTGCCTGCAACACATAGGCTCCAGCAGTGTCTGGCACATGAGTGGTGGTTGAAGGCACTGGCTGTATAGTCCAACTATCAGGGTTTAAAATCAAAGCCTGCCGTCTTGTGGATGTATGGTCTCAGCTAACTCATTTTAACTTGTTTGAGAGTGATTAAAATCTATGAAAATAGGGATAATACCCATAACCAGCATATGTGTGTTGTGAGAATTGTACAGGGAAATGCATGCAGACAGCTCAGCAGCACTCATTAAGAACTTGGTGAATTCTGGTCTTTTATTATCCTTCCATAACATATGAATTGATAAAGCTGGAGGGGTGTTTGTGTGTAAATGAGTTGTGTTACTGTCCAAGGGAAAACTGATACCTAGGTTATTCTGCTCATAAGCACTGTAGTGTTTAATGTATTTGAAAGATCTGTAAGTAATGGTGCTCAGATTTTGCTGGGGTTAGAATTGCCTGAGAGCTTTCACAACTACCAATCCAGATCAATTCAGTCAGAATCTGGAGACAAGAACCAGGTACCTGGAATTTTGAGTGCTGCCAGAGTGGAGCCATGCCCATAGACTTGGGTGGGTCTTCCCTGCTAAATGCTGTTTTATTTAATTGAAAGGATGACAGAGGAGAAAGAGATCTTTCATACTCTGGTTCACTCCTCAAGTGACCACAATGTCAGCTGGGCCAGGCAGGAGCCAGGAACTCCCATCTGGGTCTCCAGTGTAGGTGGCAGGGACACAAGTACTTGAGCAATCTTCTGCTTTCCTAGGATTGTTAGCAGGGGATTGGATTGCAAGCAGAACCAGCACTCTGATAAGGGTTGGCAGTATCACAGGTAGCTCAACCCAGTGCACTCACAATGCCGGTCCCAGCTCATTTGAGATACCATACACCAAGTGGCATTCTGAGCTAAAGGCCTCTTTGAGACAACTATTCCATGTATGTTCTCTGTGTTTGGGTAGTCTGTCCCTAGTCTCATCTCTGTGCCTCTGTTTTCACTGAAGAACCATATACTTCCCCACTCCATAATCTATCTGCTTCCTCACAGATTAGTGTCCATGATGACCCTCACAGGATTTTCACTGCCAGCTAAAACCAGAACTAGATTCTGAGTTTGGTCATTGCTCACAACTGGCTAGAAAGCTTAACTGATTTTCTAGTCTTGGTCCACAATTCTTTCATACTTCCAACTCTCATCTAATCTGCTCTATTTTTATTTATTTTTGCTTTATTTGAAAGGCAGAGGGCAACAGAAATAGATCTTACTGGTTCAATCCCCCAAATGCCTGCAACAGCTAGGGCTGGGACAAACTAGGAATCTGGAACTCCCACCTGGGTGGTGGGAACCCAAGTACTTGAGCCCTCACCTGCTGTCTCATAGGGTGCGCATTAGTAGGAAGCTAAGTCTGAAATGGAGTAAGAAGTCAACACCAGACACTCTGAGATGGGAGATAGGCATCCCAATCAGTGACTTAGCTGATATATTAAACTCTTGGCCTCTACTCTGCAACTCTAACCCAGCAGGACCCTCCAATTCTCACCACCTCCTGGCCTGTGAAGCCTCTTTTAGTATCATCTCCATATGAAACTGAGACTTTTACTATTGAAAATGTGGTCCATGAAAAAGCAACGTGGGGCTGGTGCCGTGGCTCACTTCATTAATCCTCCGCCTGCAGCGCCAGCATCCCATACGGGCGCCGGGTTCTAGTCCCGGTTGCTCCTCTTCCAGTTCAGCTCTCTGCTGTGGCCTGGGAGGGCAGTGGAGGTTGGCCCAGGTGTTTGGGCCCCTGCACCCACGTGGGAGACCAGGAAGAAGTACCTGGCTCCTGGCTTTGGATCGGCACAGTGCTGGCCATAGCGGCCATTTGGGGAGTGAACCAATGGAAGGAAGACCTTTCTCTCTGTCTCTCTCTCTGTCTATAACTCTACCTGTCCCCCCAAAAAAAAGAAAGGAAAGAAAAGCAACATGAGCATCACCTAAGACTATTAGAAATGCAGAACTTGGGACAAGCATTTTGGCACAAGTTGAACCTACGCTTGGGACATCTCCATCACATAATCAGAGTGGTGATCCTGTCTGCTACTCAGCTTCCAATTCCTGTTAATGCATCCGGGGGGGGGGGGGGGGTAGTAGGTGATGGATCAAGTGCTCAGGCCTCTGCCATTCTCATGGGTGATCTGGAGTTTGGGGATCCTGGTACAGAATCACATTGTAGTCTCTCATTACCCCCCAACCCTTTTTCCTTTGTAATCTGCTTCCCCAGTTAGACATTTTTTATTTTTTAAAGATTTTATTTATGGGGCAGATGCTGTAATATAGTAGGTAAAGCTGCTGCCTGCGGGACCAGCATTCCATATGGGCACAGTTCAAGTCCTAGCTGCTCCACTTCTCATCTAGCTCCCTAATGGCCTGGGAAAGCAGCAGAAGATGGCCCAAATGCTCAGGCGTCGGAAGTGGAGCAGCCAGGACTTGAACTGGCGGTCATGTGGGATGTCAGCGCTGCAGACAGCAGGTTTTTTTTTTTTTGTTTTGTTTTGTTTTTTTTAAGATTTATTTATGTATTTGAAAGAGTTACAGAGAGAGGGGAGGTAGAGAGAGAAAGAGAGAGGTCTTCCATCTGTTGGTACACTCCCTAACTGGCCGCAGTGGCTGGAGCTGCGCCGACCCGAAGCCAGGAGCCAGGAGCTTCTTCTGAGTCTCCCACGTGAGTTCAGGGGCTCAAGGACTTGGGCCATCTTCTAGTGCTATCCCAGGCCATAGCAGAGAGCTGGATTGGAAGTGGAGCAGCTGCGTCTCGAACCAGCACCCATATGGGACACCAGCGCTTTAGGCCAGGGCGTTAACCCACTGAGCCACAGCGCTGGCCCCATGCAGACAGCAGTTTAACTGAGATGCCACAGTGCCAGCATAGGCCCCAGTGATTCATCTTCACGTTAGAATTGAAGAACCACACATGCTACTCAGAAATAATCTCCTTTTAAAGTCTACTAAACATGTCACCACACCCAGTCCTTGAATTCTACAATATACTTTCCCAGGCCATAAACCCATATAACTGCTATTGCTAGGGAACACAATTATCTGATGTATTTTATCAGGATTCTTAATGATATTCTAACTTCAAGCTGCCTCTTCCATGGATGCCTTTCACAGAAATTAGTCCAAACTTTACCACTCCCTTGTCTCTCATCATCCCCTAACCCTTTTTCCTCTCCTTGATCTCATCTCACATTCCACTTCAGGAAAACCTAGACACAGGGGCCAGCATTGTGGTGTAGCAGGTAAAGCCACTGTTTGCATCCCATTGGATATCCTGGCTGCTCCACTTTGATAAGCCCCCTGCTAATGTGCCTGGGAAAGCAGTGAAAGATGGCCCAAGTGCTGTGGCCCTGCACCCACAGGGGAGACCCATAAGAAGCTCCTACCTCCTGGCTTCTGACTTCAGCCTGGCCCAGCTCTGGCTGTTGTGGCTACTTGGAGAGTGAACCAGCAAATGGAAGATCTCTCCCTCTCTCTTGTCTCTCCCTCTTCCTCTGTAACTCTGCCTTTCAAATAAACAAATAAACCTTTAAAAAAAAAAAAAAAAAAGACATAGCCTGCCCATCTAAAAGCTGCCCATTCTCAGGAAGATGAAGAATCCCCTTTTGTTAAAAAGACCTCTGGCAACTTCCAGGATCTTGCTCAATTCACTTTGCTGTATACAAGCCTACTTTAGTCTCTCAGATTAAACCAAAACAAACCACTAATTTTTCCTTTTTAACAGTGCCTCTAGCATTATCTACATACTTTATCTCCACAACCTACTTAAGTTTCCAACACAAGTGTTGACAGTTTTACCATGATCGCTCTACTGCCTAATCCATGGTTTTAGTTCACTTAGTCCTTATATCAATGGAATTTTAGACAAAGATTCCTGAAGACCCTGTATTCAAAACTAATAAACCAGGCTGGCACTGTGGCACAGCAGGTTGAGCCACCAACTGCAGTACTGGCATCCCAGCTCCCAATCATGCTCCCTGCTAATGTGGCCTGGGAAACCAGTGGAGGATGACCCAAATGCTTGGGCCCCTGTACCCACATGCACATGAAGCTCCTTGCTTCCTGGCTTCAGCCTGGTCCAGCCCTGGTGATTGTGGCCATTTGGGGAGTGAACCAGCAGTTGGAAGATTTCTTCACTCTCTCCATCTCCCTCTCTCTCTCCCTCTTATCCTCCTCTCGCAATAATCTTTCAAATAAATAAGTATTTAAAAATAAATAAATAAAAATTTTGAAAGAGAAATGAAAAAATTAACCAAAATTACTTGTTAAAGTGGCCTGGTCATAAGATGATAACATAAAAATCAGGGGGCTGGCACTGTGGTGTAGCAGGTTGAGCTGCATTTCATATAGGCACCAGTTCAAGTCCTGGCTGCTCTACTTCTGATGCAGCTCCCTGCTAATTTGCCTGGGAAAGCAACAGAAGGTGACCCAAACCCCTGGGCCCTTGCACCCACCTGGGAGCTCCTAACACCTGGCTTCAGCCTGGCACAGCTCTAGCCATTGCAGCCATTTGGGGAGTGAACGAGCAATTGGAAGATCTTTCTCAGCCGGTGCTGCGGCTCACTAGGCTAATCCTCCGCCTAGCGGCGCCGGCACACCGGGTTCTAGTCCCGGTTGGGGCGCCGGATTCTGTCCCGGTTGCCCCTCTTCCAGGCCAGCTCTCTGCTGTGGCCAGGGAGTGCAGTGGAGGATGGCCCAGGTGCTTGGGCCCTGTACCCCATGGGAGACCAGGAAAAGCACCTGGCTCCTGGCTCCTGCCATCAGATCAGCGCGGTGCGCCGGCTGCAGCGGCGGCCATTGGAGGGTGAACCAACGGCAAAAGGAAGACCTTTCTCTCTGTCTCTCTCTCTCACTGTCCACTCTGCCTGTCAAAAAAAAAAAAAAAAAAAAAAAGATCTTTCTCGCTCTGTCTCTCCTCTCTCACTCTACTTTTCAAATAAATAAATAAATCTTTTAAAAAATTATAATTCAGCCTCTCCAGGTCTGAAATTAGACCTTTCTTGGAGAATTTTAAATTCAGAAGACAGGGCAGGCAGTTGTACAGCAGTTATGGTGTCACTTGAGATACCTGCATCCCATATAGGAGTTTCTAGGTCTGAATCCCAGCTCTACTTCAAGGCAACAGGTGGTAGGTCAAGAAGTTGAGTCTCTGCCACCCACAGAAGACACCCAGACTGAGATTTAGGCTCCTAGCTTTAGCCTAACCTAGCCCCTGGCTGTTGCAGGCATTTGGGAGATGAACTAATGAATGGAAGGTCTCTCTCTGCCTTTCAAATTAAGTAATATTTTAATAAACAAAATGAGGGGCCAGCGCCATAGCTCACTTGGCTAATCTTCCACCTGTGGCGCCAGCATCCCATATGGGCGCCAGGTTCTAGTCCCAGTTGCTCCTCTTCCAGGCCAGCTCTCTGCTGTGGCCCAGGAAGGCAGTGGAGGATGGCCCAAGTGCTTGGGCGCCTGCACCCACATGGGAGACCAGGAGGAAGCACCTGGCTCCTGGCTTCGGATCAGCGCAGCACACCGGCCGTAGTGGCTATTTGGGGGGTGAACCAACGGAAGGAAGACCTTTCTCTCTCTCTAATTCTACCTGTCAAAAAAAAAAGAGTCCCAGCTGCTCCACTTCCAATCCAGCTCTCTGCTGTGGCCTGGGAAAGCAGTGGAAGATAACCCAAGTACTTGGGCCCCTGCACACACGTGGGAGAACCAGAAGAAGCTTCTGGCTCCTGGCTTTGGATGGGTTCAGCTCCGGCCGTTGCGGCCAATGGGGGAGTGAACCAGCAGATGGAAGTCCTCTCTCTCTCTCTCTGCCTGTGTCTCTCTGTAACTCTGCCTTTCAAATAAACAAATAAATCTTTAAAAAATAATAAAATAAACAAAATGAGAGGAAGAAAGTTGCTTCCATCACCTCATATTTTATATGTAAAGTAGGGCTTTGTTAATATGCGTATATTGGAGTTATTCCTCTGCTTTCCTAAATTCTTCAACATGGGGGTTCTCTGGGGTCCTCTGTGATGTTCCCATCCACCACTGCCTCTTGGGATATGAGGATAAGTCCTGTCCTTAGCCACCTCTTTTCTCTCTTTAGGCTCTATACACACATACTGATCTCCAAATCTTTATCTCTAGCGCTAACCTCTGGCCATATCCTAATGCTTTCTAGGCTTAAGTACATGCATATCTCAAAAGAACTCATGCTTTTCCACCTCCCACTGTACTCCTCTTCCTCTAGTTCCTACCTCAAGCTATGGCACTCTCATGTGCCTGGGCACTCAAGCCAAGCACTGGGAGTCATCCTCAACTCCTCTTTCTGTGCCTCCACTAATGGCATATGCCTCACCTTCCAATGCCATCAATCAGTCTTAAGTCTGGTTGATTTTACTTCCTGAACATTCTTGAAATATTCCTTCAATTGGCCCCTCTCTTGTACCTGTTGAAGCCCTCACCATTTATGGCATTCATTCATTCAACAGCCTACTAGCTCATTTCCTTGCCACTATTCTTTCTCATCCTCATCTCCATAATTCAATAAGTAACCTGTCAGTGCCTGCCCACTGTCCCCATGATCTGCAATACACAGATCAAACTCATCAGTGACTTCCCATTGTCTACTTTATAAAGCCCATATTCCTGGTCATGAGAATCCTCCAAAACCTCTATCCTTCTGTACATCTCTGGCTTCATCTGCCAGCTGTCTCTCTAGCTTGAACTATATGCTGCAGCACAGCTTATACTCCCCCCAGCACAAAGTCCTATTTCCCACTGCTATGGCTTCGCTCCAGCTATTTTTTGCCTGGAAAACTTGTTTCATCTTGATTCAGCACACTTTTACTCCTGTTTTGAGAATTACAGAAGGCATAGAGTACTTTTCAGAGTGTTTGTGGACCACCACTATGCTGGGTTAAGTGCATAGCACCCCTGATCTGTGTATACCAATCTTAACAATCGTATTAAACTGAGATTATCCATTAATATTTCTTTCACCTTTAGTTCTGTGCCCTCAGCTCCCAAAACAATGTCTGCCATGATATTAGGGATTCAAAATAAGGTTCAACTCAAATAACCTAATAATCAAAATAATTCATGAAAAATCTTGAAATCAAAGGTACAATGATCAAAGACACACTCTATTCAATAATTCTTACCAACTTCATACTGTGAATTACTATTAGGAGTATTTGGTAAGCAATTTGCCTTTAAGGGATTTTTCTAAAAAAAAAAAAAAAAAAGAGAGAGAGAGAAGAAAAAAAAGGACTTCACATACCTTACATTTAAGGGTACAAAAAGGAGCCAAATCTAAGATTTCTGGAAACTTTATGTGTTTGTTAACTTTGCGTAGGTTAAAACCAGCCTAAAAAAGGACAACATATTGAGTTATTTTCCTAGAAAATCTATAAATATTAAGTAAACCCTAGGCCCTCCAATTCCCAATGAACTACCAACACCTAGCCCTAGTTCAGTCTTCTTAGGAAACTATTCTTCTGGATTACTAACTGGTTCAAGTTGGTTTGTTTCTGCATGCACGCATATCATCAGCACACACATCAAACACATTAAGAAAGCTGCTTCTGTGAGAAAATTCTCACTGTTTCTGCTTTAGCCAGCCAGATTTGATGTGGGGTTTTCAGTGCTTAACACTCAGGAATAGAACTCTTTCCTGTGAAACACACACTGTCAGCATCACATTCTAACAAAGCTCAATGGCTTGTTACTAAAGACCCATCCAACTAGTCAACCCCATACCAACCGTAAGAGGGAAAATGTTCTGAAAATCCAGAAGGTACTTTTATAAACTAAGCAAATCTGAAAGTCTTACTGCTTATTACAAAGTCTTCCAGAAAAAAGAGAGTCACCAAAGTGATAAATATGTGTTTCTATCAAAGGTCAGTACCAATTAGGTACTACACACAAAACTGGGAAGCATTACTAATATTCCTAGATATGAGACATAAGCAGTAAACTGGGTATTTTTTAAACCTACAATTTTGGTTAGAGTAGGATGCTACTCTTACTAAACTCTTTTTTTAGTAAAAGAGTAATATGATAGTTAACACATGGGAGGAAGGATTGTACCTACATCTCTTCCCTGACTTTGATGGGTATCTTGTTTTGCCTATACATTTACTTCCCTATTTCTTTGAAGTGAGAATCAAGATATAACAAAAAAAAAAAAAAAAAAAAAAAGAAATACAGAAATAAGTCTGAACAATAACAAATAAAGTATTATATATTTAAAATTAATTTTGAGTAACAAGGAGTACCTGCTGAAATCTCTTTAAATGAAGAGTGAGAACAGGAGGAGCAAGAGAAATTAACATCTGCTTCTTAGCATTGGTGTAAACATGTTTCCTTTCACCTACAGAAAAGAAGAAATTTTTAGCAGTGTAAAACTCATTTTAGCATTCATATTGCTATAAAATAATTTCAAACACATAAGGCAAGGATCAGCAAACTCTCTTCCATAAAGAAGCAGACCCTGAATATTTTACCCTTTGGACCAGGAGGCAAACTCAAGGCTATTTTTCAGGTACTTAAATATGAAAGTAAAGTTTCCATAATTTTTTTACTGATAAAGCAAAAATAATAATTGAATATGATGGTACTCTATTAAGTGGAAGAAGAGAATTATTTTAGACCTATCATTTACAAATGTCCATCTATAAAAAAACTTAGGGGCGAGTGCTTAGCCTAGTGGTTAAGAGACCAGTTAAGAGTCCATGACCCACAACGGAGTACCTGAGTTCACTACCTGTCTCTGGCTTCTGATTAGTTTCCTGCTAACGCAGACCTTGGCAAGCAGTGGTGAATGGTTTGATTAATTGGGTTCCTGCCATTCACATGGGAGACCTGGATTAAGCTCCTGGGTCCCACTGTGAGTTTTGGGGAGAGAAATAGTGGATGGAAGCTCTTCCTCTTTTTCCATCTCTCTCATTCTTTTTTTCTTTTCTTTTTTTAATATTTATTTATTTGAAAGTCAGAGTTACAGAAGGAGACACAGATATTCAATCTGCTGGTTCACTCTCCAAATGGCCACAACAGCCAGAGCTGGGCCAAGCTGAAGCCAGGAGCCAGGAGCTTCTTGGTCTTCATCATAGGTGGCAGGGACCCAGGGACTTGGTTCACTGCTTTCCCAGGCGCATTAGCAGGGACTGGAAGTGGAACAGCTGGAACAATGCTGAGAGGGCGCTAAGGATGCGAAGCAGCAGCACTGTCTATAGCGTGCTGTTGGGGAAGCATTCTAATGGGATGATTCACACATGGAGAGATGCTGGAAATCAAGTGGCTGCTGGGAGCACTAGCCGCTCCAATAAAATTATTTTCTCATCCTACAGGGCCTGGCGTAGTAGTACAGCAGGTGAAGTTGCTGCTTGAGACGTCAGCATCCCATATTGGAGTGCTGGTTAGTCCTGGCTCCTGCTTCCAGCAGAGGCACCTGGGAAGGAAGCAGATGATCTCCCAAATGCCTGGGCCCCTGTCACTGTGAGTTTGCTGATCCTTGTTGGAGGCATGGATTGAGTTCCTATTTCCTGGTTCTGGCCTGGCCTAGCTCCAGAAGTTGCAGCCATTTGGGGAGTGAACCAGCAGATGGAAGATCTCCCCTTCTCTGTTTCTCCCCCTCTTTGCCTTTCAAAAAATTAAATTCTTAAAAATAATTTAAAATTACTTATATAGAAGATGATGCTCATTAAATGGCACTCAAATCCTGATATAATTACAAAAGGAGTACTCTATCTCTGCAGTGCAAAACATGCCTCTGAATATTACTTTTATTTATACTGACAGAATATAAATACCTTTTGTATTTTCCTTTGGTCCATTATACTGTCTCCGTGTGCATACTTCACAAAGCAGTTTATTTGCATCTCGTAATTTCTCATTGCGGGTGAACTGATACAAACAATGTTGGATTGAACACTCATCAGTGTTGAAAGCTTCCCTGTTTGCAAGAGTACAGAAAGCAGTTTCTGGATCTTCATTTACAACCTCATATACCTTTGTCTCAGGGGTATAGCTGTCATTCAGAATCTCTATATTGATTTCATCAGGTTCAAGAGTAACATTCAGGTTAAGGTTTTTGAAACCATTGGAAATGTCTACTTCTTCATTGCTCTCCTCCTGTAGGTAGGCACCATTTAAATTCCCACTACATTCAGTGGGAGAAGATGCCAAAACCTCCAGATCATTATCCATGTTGACATTTTTCACATCTACTTCTTCCGTGGAGTTTTGATTGTCAGTTACACTTTCTATTATTTTTTCTTGGCCATTCAAATCTTTCTGATTAACACCACATTCTTCAGGTGTAACTTCCTCTTGTGAAATATGGTTGGATTTAATATCTACTTCTCCCTGAAGTGACATTTCAGCCTCACATTCATTATCTTCAGAATGGTCAATGGTACAGATATCATTTAAATGAAGAACCTTCCCTTGAATTTTTTGTTGCCTTCGTTGGTTCTGTGCAAAACAAGACAACAACTATAAAACATCAGAAAAAAAGAAAGAAGGCAGGCAGGCGGAGGAAACAAAAAGGCACAATCTTTTCCTCACATAACCTCAAAGCAACTTCTCTGCAACAAACAATAATAATGAACTAATTCTGTCATTGCCAAGAGAAAGTATCATGCATAAAGTAAGAGATGTTTACCGGTGTCAGACTACAAACTCAATAGTTCAAAATGTAGAATTAGAGGCACGGGCACTGTGGTGTAGTGGGTAAAGCCACTGCCTGTGACTCCACCTTCCCATATGGGCACCAGCTCTTGTCCAACTGTTCCATTTCTGATCAAGCTCCCTGCTAATGGCCTGGGAAAACCAGCAAAAGACACAGGTGTTTGGGTCCCTGCTACCAAATGGGAGACCTGTTTAAGCTCCTGGCTCCTGGTTTCGGCCTGGCTGTTGCAGCCTTTTGAGGAGTGAATCAGCAGATGAAGATCTCACTGTCTCTGTTTCTCACTCTCTCAAGTAAATGATCTTTCTTTTTTTTTTAAATGTAAAATTAGAAAAGCTGGGGCAGCACTGTGGCGCAGTGTGCTAAGCCTCCGCCTGTGGCGTCGGCATCGATACAGGCACCAGTTTGTGTCCCGGCTGCTGCTCTTCTGATCCAGCTCTCTGCTATGGTCTGGGAAAAGCAGCAGAGGATGGCCCAAGTGCTTGGGCCCCTGCACCTGCATGGGAGACCCAGAAAAGGCTCCTGGCTTCAGATCGACCCAGCTCGGGCTGTTGTGGCCATTAAGGCAGTGGATAGAAGACCTTTCTCTCTGTCTCTCCGTCTCTGTCTGTAACTATCTTTCAAATAAAAATAATAAAAATCTTTAAAAAAAGCATGATTTTCCTCATAATTACTCACTTTGGCTTGCTTCTTGGCTTGCTTCTTTGCTTTTTTCTGTAAGTGTTTACTTGTTCCTGAAGGAATGTCATTTCTCTCTTTTACGTAACTGTCATTATCTTTTTCTTCCTCACTGTCTTTATCTTCATCTTCCATTGTCTTCTTTAGATTTTTATCATTTATACTTTTCTTACCACTCTTAAAATATGGAAAGAATATGAGTCAAAAACTTTTTGAAAAAAGAAGAATTTGCAAAATATTTTACAGCTACCATTTGTTTACATGAAAATTCAGGCTAAGAATACATAAAGTTATAATAAAAGCAGGAATGAGGTACTTTCTAGACACCGAAAAAGGCAAACAAACAGATTCTCCCTTACAGCCTCCAGAAACTGCCTCGCTGACACCTTGATGTTAGCCTGATAACAACCATTTTGGATTTCTGACCTCCAGAACTTGAAGGTGAGAACTGTTGCTACATTTCTTCATGGTTATCCACCCTCACTTCTAAAACATGTACAGACACATTCTGAGATATGTGGTGCAGCAAGTTAAGCTACTGCCTGGACACTGGCATCACAATTCAGAGCACTGGTTTGAGTGCCGGCTGATCCAATTTATCTCCCTCCTAATGTACCTGGGAAAAGAGCAAAAGATGCTCTGGGGTCATTGCGGCCATCTGGGGAGTGGACCATCAGATGGAAGACCTCCCTCTCTCCCTCTCTCTCTCGCCCTCTCCTCTCTCTGTGTAACTCTTTCAAATAAATAAATAAATAAATATTAAAAAAAAAAAAGGGTAAAAGATGGCCCAAGTATTTGGGTCCCCCCCCCCCAAGTCACATGGGAGATCTGGATGGAGTTCTGGGCTCCGGCTTCAGTCCCATCCACCTCCAGCCATTGCAGGCATTTGGGAAGTGAACTAGTGAAAGATTTCTCTCTTTCTCTGCCTCTCCCTCTCTCTCTGTCACTCTGGCTTTCAATTAAGTAAAATAAATCTTCAAAAACTTTTTAAAAAGGAGGGAGAAAGGGAAGAAGGGAATATCGTTATTGTATCTACAAATCACGTTGGATCTGTAAAAACTAATTAAAATTAAAATGTAAAAAAGGAAAAAATTTCAAAATAAGAAAATTCATGTTACAAAGAAGCTTTTCTACTCCTATTTTATACTATTTTATTTTTCTCAATATTCGAAAATATATCGAGAACAAAATAAATTCATCTCGTATACTGGTAAGCATTCTTCACATACTAAAAGAACAAGTGAAAAATATAACAAAAAGTAACTTCACATGTGAGGGTAACAAAAAAGAATGTAATGACTTTTATTAGATACATGCTGTAAACAGTCCATTTCTAAATGTACTTTCTGCTTGTTATGTCTGTTATACCTCAGATATCGCCTCTTACTCCTTTCTTCCTTTGCACATAAATGATGGTTTTAAAGAAAGAGAAAATAAAGGAAGTTTGGTGAGACTTCCATTACTAAGTAACAGGACAGGGGACTCAAATTCATATGAAGTTGAATAATGATTTAACCAATGTTCATAAACATGTTCTGTTTTTTTCCTATTAATATTTAAAAAGAATTACATTAATACATGGTTTATAACCAATAATAATATTTAACATTAAGAATGCAATGGATTTGTGGTTAATCTTAAATAACAAAAATAGCAATTTTAATAGGAAGAAAATACTTCCCTTTAAATAAACTAATCAAGGTAATTACCTATAAAGAGCTCTCTATATATATCATTCTCTTTTTTGAAAAAAAATCTCTCATTCTTTACTCAAATCCTAAATATTATTTTATCTCAAACAGTACAAGAAAAATTTTTCCTGGGATAGTACTATACAAAGTTGAAAAAGGTAATGAGACTTCCCTTTAATACAGTAAATTCAACAGTCTTACCTGATCATCTAAAACTGGGAGAGACAAATCAAGGAACGATTCATGAACCAACGAGACCTTAATCAATAAAAAAAATGAAAATGTAAAAAGAAAGCAGAGTCACTTTAAACATTATAATCACACAGTAAAATCCCCTGAGGCCGGGATGGTAGTGGTGGTGGTGGTGGTGGCGGCGAGTTAGGAGAGAAGGTTGCAAAGGCTTGGGCCCATGCTGGGGAACAGCAGGTAAAGACGCCGCCTGTAGTACCATATGGGATGCTGCTTCAAGTCCTGGCTGCTCCACAATATTGCTGGGGCTGGTGTCAGTGCAGCAAGTTTAGCTGCCACCCACAACACCATATTGGAATGCCATATTGGTACGCCAGACTGGACTGCTGGTTTAGGTCCTGGCTGCTCTGCTTCCAATCCAGCTCCTTATTAATGTGCCTGGGAGGGGACAGTGCTGTGGCACAGCAGGTTAAGCCACCATCTGCAGCACAGGCACATCATATTGAGTCTAGCTCCCTGATAATGGCCTTGGGGAAGCAGCAGAAGATTGGCCCAAGTCCCTGGGCTCCTGCACTCACGTGGGAGACCTGGGAAGTAGCTCCTAGCTCCTGGCTTTGGCTTGGTCCAGCCCTGACCGTTGCAGCCATTTGGGAGAAGATCTCTGTCTCTCCCTCTCTCTCCCTAATGCTATCTTCCAAATAAAATAAATTTTAAATGATTAATTTAAAAAATAAAAACAAATAAAGGCTTAAGAAAATCTGAAGTGAAAAATTACACAATGTTGAGACCTCTGAGTTTGAAAAACAAATTAAATGTTTAACTTCTTGAAGATTTAAGGAGTGATGGGATAGGTGTTAAGCCTACTCCACACTGAAGTACCTAGGTTCAACATCCAGGTCTGGTTCATGCCAATATAGACCCCGGGAGGCAGTGGTGATGGCTCAATGGGTTCCGCCACCCATGCTGGATATCTGGGTTGAATTCCCAGCTCCCAGCTTTGGCCCATGTTCAACCCGGAATGATGCAGGCATTCTGAGAATAAACCAGAGGATGGTAGCTTATTTTCTTCTTTCTCTCTGTATGTCTCTCAAAAATTCATAAGTAAAAAATAGGGGTGGACGGGGAGATTTAAGGAGTGCTGATATTGCCAGCAAAGAATGATGCACATTTGGATAGTTCAGCAAAGAACACCCATGAACTTAACACATAACCTTTTTAAAAAAGATTTATTTATTTATTCGAAAGACAGAGTTACAGGGAGAAAGGGATAGATGGTGAAAGGGAGAGAGATCTTCTATCCTCTGGTATACTTCTCAAGCGGCTGCCATACATGATGGCCAGGATGGGGCCAGATTGAAACCAGGAGGCTGGAACTTCATCCGGGCTTCCCCACGTGGGTGGCAGGGGCCCAAGCACTTGGGTCATCTTCTGCGCTTTTCCAAGCACATTAAGCAGGATGGGAAGTGGACTTGAACCAGAGCTTATAACAGATGCCAGGTTGCAGCAGTGGCTTAACCTGCCATGCCACAATGCTGACCCGATATTATTGTTTTGTCTTGTTTTGCTTTGTTTGAAAAAAAAAAAAAACCTGATACACTGTACTCTGTGATATTAATAAATAAACCCAGCCCACACTATTATGTACTTACAGTCCTGCATTCATCACACATGATTGTACTAGTTAGTTCACCACCAAAGATGCGATCCACAAAACTTGGTATCGATTTTTTCTTTTCATAATCTGTAAAGAACAAATTGTCTTTATATAATTAACCAAGTAAGTTAAACCACTTAGTTACCTATGTAATCCTAAAATTTTAACTTCCTGTTCTGAAGACTTTTCTATCAATAATTACTCAATTTTATTTTTATGCCATAGAAGTCGGTAGCACAGACTCTATCTCAGAGCATTTAACACAGTCACCTTTTATGAATAAGGAAAAAGGTCTTAACCAAGATCTAGTCAATTGTGTGAGTCAGTGACATTTGCCAATTTTCCAAAACTCCATTAGTAACCTAAGCAGACTGAACTACATTGAATGATTCTAGCTTCCTAGTTGTAGCTCTAACATTCTAACACTCAGTACTGAAAAGCAATACCACAATGTCAAGCTTGAAGAAAAATGCACATAATTCACTTTCTGAACTCTTAGGATTTTGATTTTTATAGGAAACTGAACTCTTTTTATAGTTTAATTACTTAACTAATTACAATGTTTCAGGGGCCTGCATTGTGGAGCTTAAGCCACCACTTAAGACAAAGGCATCTCATATTATAGCACAGGTTCAAATCCTGTCTGCTCCACTTTCAATGCAGCTCCCCGGTAACACCCCTAGGAAGGCAGCAGAAGATGGTCCAGATGCTTGGGCCCCTGCCACTCACATGATAGATCCAGATGAAATTTCAAGTTCCAGGCTTCAGCCTGGACCAGCCCCAGCCGTGTACAACCTGGGGAGTAAACCACTGAGTGGAAGATCTCCCTGTCTTTTCCTCTCTCTCTGGCTTTCAAATAAATAAATCTTGAAAAATAAATAAAACGTTTCAGACAAATCTTGCTTTTATTTTCCTACATTTTCAGAAATAATCTTGCTATATCTAATGAAAGGTCACAACATTTTACTCCCTGGTCTTCTAATTTTCCAAACACATGAAATTTCTAAGTATTATTCAAATGATAGGTATGCATGTACACAGAAACCCAGTTTAAGATACAGTGCCAGCAGGTACCACTCTGTTCCCAGCAAGGTTCTCAAGAGGACCAAGGGAGACAAGGGTTGCTATAAGCTGAATCCATTTAGCTTTACAATACAGTAGCCCTGGCAACTGTGACTATTTAGACAAGATTTAATAAAAAGAAAAATGTGGTTTTTCAGTTTCACCAGTGATCTTTCACCTGCCCAGCAGCTCCTATGGCTAGTAACCTCTAGGGAAGTATAAATGTAGAAGAATTCCATCATCATAGAAAGTCCTACTGGACAGATCCTCAGTCCTTACTACATACAACATAAACCTAAGTTGGATCCACAATTAATAAACCAGTCACTAACAAACCACAGTAACAATGTAATTCATAGATTACTACTCATGATAGTTCTGAATTTTTAAGAAAACTGTGATGCCATATTAGCTCCATGTAAATTTTACTATAAAAATGCATAAAAAGAATATATAAATTAAAATTTTTCTGAAACATTCACTTTGGGAATATTGACAATTTTTGAAAATCAATTATGTAGAAATAGTTGTATGTTAATAACTGTGGATTTGAAATACATGTACCAGCAATCTTGTCCTAAGGTACAGAGGAATTCAACTATAGTGTTTTAGTTCAAAAAGTCAGACATTACCTTTAACTTTATTTTTTAGTTCTTCATCCAATTTTTCAGTAGAATTACCAAATGCTTTAAGAATTCCTTTACTCACTCTCTAAAAGTAATAAAATGGATATATATATACTATTAAATTTAAATTTTAGTTATTTTCCTTAGAAAATACGTAATCAAGTCAGGAAAGTGATCGAGATGTAGCTCCCCAGACTGACTTTAGTAAAAATCAATATTTCTAAAATTACATTTTCAAAATTAATGCAAGGAGCCAAAAGGAATTATGACTATAAAGCAATCACTAACCCCTAAATAAATGTAGTTTCTTATCATTTCAAGATCTTAAACCTATTTAAACAAAGCTTTTCAGAATATACCCAACTCTTTTAGAAAGACACTGAAAATATCTTGCCTTATAAATAGAGTGGTTACAAGGTAGCTACAATAACACACTCTTAAATTTCAAACCAGCCCCATCATTACTCGGTGAACCTGACCTGGATAAAAAACTTCTCTATACCAGAACTTCATAGAAATAAAATAGTGACAGCATCTACCTATAGAAAATTAGATGCTGTTATTATTTTCTCATTCCATAACAGCAATCTACCTAGAGAACAAGAGAACTAAGTAAAGGTAATTCATAACACAGAGCAGCACTTGGCATAAAATAAGAACCAAATAAATACTAGTTCTTATTACTATTATAATTATTAATTAAACTGACATCCCCAATTACATTATTTTACATCCTGATAATCAACAACAATTTGATGATGTCACAAATGTTTCATGATTCTAACAAAATGAAAAACTGTTAAATCACACTCAGAATAAGGGTATACTACAACTGAGAATTGTTTGGGCAGAAATATTTTCTAATACTTTGTAGTACTCCTGGTAGAGACTAATATAACTGAACCTTTTTAAGAATAATATTGCCTTGGCCGGTGCTGTGGCTCACTAGGCTAATCCTCCACCTGTGGCGCTGGCACCCCGGGTTTTAGTCCCAGTTGGGGTGCCAGATTCTGTCCCGGTTGCTCCTCTTCCAGTCCAGCTCTCTGCTGTGGCCCGGGAGTGCTGTGGAGCATGGCCCAGGTCCTTGGGCCTGCACCTGCACGGGAGACCAGGAGGAAGCACCTGGCTTCTGGCTTTGGATTGGCACAGCGCGCAGGCTGCAACGCGCCAGCCGTAGCAGCCACTTTTGGGGTGAACCAACAGAAAAAGGAAGACCTTTCTCTCTGTCTCTCTCTCTCACTGTCTAACTCTGCCTGTCAAAAAAAAATTAAAAAAAATAATAATATTGCCAGAGCTGATGTTGCAATGCAGCAAATTCAGTTTCAGCTTGCCACCCACAACATCAGTATGCTGTACTGGAGTGCCAGTTCAGGTCGTGGCTGCTCCACTTCCAATCCAGCTCCCTGCTACTGAGCCTGGGAAAGCATCGGAAGACGGCCCAGGTCCTTGGGCCCTCTAACCACATGGGAGACCCAGAAGAAGCTACTGGCTCCTCGTTTTGGCCTGGCCCATCCCTTGCTGTTGTGGCCATCTAGGGAGTGAGCCAGCAGATGGAAGACTTATCTGCTTCTGCTTCTCCTTCTCTGTAACTCTACCTTTCAAATAAATAAATAAATCTTTCAAAAACAACAACAACAACAACAACTGTGCCTGGGAAAGCAGCAGAAGATGACCCATATACTTTGTCCCCTGCCTCCTCAACATGGGAGACCTGGATAGAGTTCGTGGCTCCTGGCTTTGAACTAGCCTAGCCATGCCACTATGGTCATCTGGGAAGTGAACTGGTAGATGTAACAGCTATTTCTCTTTCTGTATCTCCCTCTCTGCCTTTCAAATAAATAATAGAAATCTCAGGAAAAAAAAGAACAATATTGCTGTAAGTATCAACTAAACTAAAGCATCAAGTAAAATAGAATCACTTCTAATTCTCTTACATACTGGTTAAAGAAGATGTAAAGCACAATGGCCTCAATAACTAGCTTTCATTGCTTTAATAAACCTTATGGAATCAAATGACAATCAAGTTCATGAAGATGGGTTTATAAAATATGATGGTCATAATATGCTAACTTGGTGCTCTTCTGCTCTCATCCCATCCAATAAATAGCGAAGCAGCTCCTGGCTGTCTTGCTGCTGATAGCCTTTAAATCGCACTGCTCTGCAGAAAAACAAAAGAAAGAAAAGCAACGATGAGTTGAGTAAAATACAGAGCTACTTTTATAAAATCTTGGGCACTTTTAAGTCAAAAAGTGTTCTACTTCCTTAAAACCTCTGTTTAGCAACAACTTTTGGCAGACATTTAATTATAAAATACATTTTTAGAAATTCAAATGAAATACTATTCTGTATTATATACATAAATAACACACACACAGACTAGGGTGGTTCTAATGTTATTAATTTTTATGTATTATTTCTTAGCATCTTCCTGATGCACAGAAAGCACAATCAAAATGGATACTCACTTTTTACAGACCTGAGAAAAGAGTTCTTTAGGTGTCACAATTCCCTTTTTGGTCTCTTGCATCTCATTAAGAAACTGGCTCATGGCTAAAGTAAGAGGGCCTGGAGGTTCAAGGTTTATTTCTAAGGGTTCCTGAATATGGGAATAAAAATTACTTTCTTCAGTCAAATTTTGGAATTATTTATGTTACCAAAATGTAACTACTTAACATCTGTTGCCAATGTTCCTGACAGAGATGCCCTATTGAAAAGTTTAAAATGTATATTTGGAGGATGAACCAACAGCAAAAAGGAAGACCTTTCTCTCTGTCTCTGTCTCTCACTGTCCACTCTGCCTGTCAAAAATAAAAAAAATAATAAAATAAAATAATAAAAAATGAAAATAAGATTTAAAAAATAAAATAAAAATAAAAATAAATAATAAAAAATGTATATTCAAAGACACAGAGACATTCTGGTCATAGACTGTCTAACTATCTAATGGAGAATTCAGTTCTATCATTTGATAGTTTTAGATTATCAGGAATTCCCCACCTAAGAACCAATAGTCAAAACAAAATATTAATAATAAAAATGGTTAAAGTAAAATTCATTCGTCTACACAGTTAAGGCACCTTACTAGATAATTAAAAGCAGGGCCAGCACTGTGGTACAGCAGGATAAGCTGCCCACCTGTGACACCAGTGTCCCATATGAACACGGTTTCCAGTCCTAGCTATTCCACTGCTGATCCAGCTCCTTCCTAATAATGCACCCGAGAAAGCGAAGCAAGACGGCCCGAGTGCTTGGTCCCATACCACTGACATGGGAGACCCAAATGGAGCTCCAGGCTCCTGGCTTTGGCCTGGCTTAGACCCAACCATTGTAGCCATTTGGGGCCTCTGCACCCACTTAGGAGACCTGGAAGAAGCTCCTGGCTTCTGGCTTTGGATTGGCGCAGCTCTGGTCATTGCGGCCAATTGAGGAGTGAGCCAGTGGATAGAAGACCTTACTCTGGGCTCCCTTGGTTTCCCAAGAAGGAAATCAAACACAGAAAAACAGGATAGGCCTGAAAGCTAACTTGGCAATCTAAAGTAAAACACAGCCAAAACAAACAAAAATCATAGAAAAGAATGTCAATTTTCTAAAGTACTTTACGGTATGGATGTTTACAAAGAGTATAGTTACTGATTATAAAAGAAAATATTTAAGTACATACTGTTAGTGCCAAATCAGGTGGTTCAATTTTAACAATCGTTCCAGACATTTTTACTTCTTTTAGTAGTTCTCTAAGCACTGGTGTTTGTGATAAATTCTGGAATGTAGGATGGAGAAGAAAAGTAAAACTATTGAATGGCATATCAATTCATTCCAATTAGTTCTTAAGATTCTATTCTATCAAAACAGAAAATCACATGGCTTTTAAAATCTTCAGTTCTTTGCTTGCTCATTTCAGGGGCATTCTCCCAGCACCCAATCAAAGTACCTACCCAGTCCTCAATTCCCTCACCACCACCCACTCCCACTTGTAACTAATATTTGTTACACTGAAGTTATCATGTGCTTTCCTCCACCCAAATCCAAGCTCCATGAAGGCTGAACTCATGTTTGTTTAAACCCCAAGGCACCCAAGCTCACCAGGATGTTTTACTGACATGTAATAACTGTCCTTGAGTTTTCTTTGAAGTCATAGACATACATTACTTAGGGAAGAAAAATCAATTCCTTAAGAAACAGATCTTATGAGCAAAAGGCTAGCTTTTTTTTTTTTTTTTTTTTTTTTTAAAGGGAGAAAATTGACACTGGCACCTGCATAACAGCATTGAAGAAACACGTATTTCCCAAGTTACTGAGTCCTTTCACAGTTATTTGGGAAGCAGAATTCATGGGCAGATTTTCTTTAGGCATGTTTTCCTTTTTTTCTCTCTCTTGTTCATTTTTACTCTCCTTTTCTAATTTTTTATTCTCAAGTTCAATGCTCCCATTATCTTTCTCTGCTTTAAGAAAAGAAGAAAAGGTTTAGCAAAATGTGTAAATACAGCCAAATCAAATACAAAGTTATACTCTGGACAGAAATCTAGAAATTGTGATTTTTACCTAACATTTACCACCAATTTGATGTTAAATGTTATCTAATAAATATTTTTAAATTATGATAGAAAGAAGAACAAACAAACAAAAATGGAACTGATGAGTACCGAGTTTGACAAATGAAACTCAATAGTATATGCTTCGGTATAAATCTTCCCTTTTGTACTGCACAAAAATTCATTACAAGTGAGGACGGTTTTGTGAAACAAAAGTGAAAAACAATAAAAATGTGAATGTGAAGTAAATTTGAATTCTCTTGGTCAAAAACTGACCCTTAAGTCAACAACAAGCAATTTTGGCTCTAACAAAGATACCTGTGACAGTAAAAATCTAAAGAAAAACCTCAAAGCAAATGCTGTATGCTAACCCAACTAACATAACTGCACATGGAAAGAGTCTGAGATGTATCTAACCATTAGCAGGAGTTACAATAAATACTTTTACAAGTACACATCATTCCAGCAGCCAGATTGAAGTCTCTCTATTACAAAATATATTACAGTACAAACAACATAGGCTGGTGTTACAGGAACAGTATCCAGTACCTATTATCTAGTCTAGACCCCTCACCACATCTCACTAAATTATTTATCACATCCCCTATAACATCTTATAATTGAATATAGTTTACTGTTTTATATTCTGAGCCAAATGTAGTTTGAGATCAGTATCTCACAGTTTGAGATCAATCATAAACAATATTACTCAGCTGTATGTAATGCCAGGTAGTACAATAAATCTAAATATCAGCAGATATGCAATCAACATTATAGTACAGATTAAGAAACAAGTAATTTTTTACCTGGTTTTGGTGCTGGAATACCAGATTGTTTCCTAACATAATCAACTGCTTGGCCCAGTCGGTTTGAACTGCAATACTGGACTTCATCATCACAAATATAACACCTGTGTCCCGGAAAGATCAAAGAGAAGAAAAGTGATAAATGGACAAATAAAAAAGGAGGCAAATTATAATTCCTGGAACCCAAAGTATGTAACCATCAAATTATTCACTAGAGAAAATGAAAATAAAAATTCTATTTTCTGAGGCTGCCACTGTAGTGTAGCAGGTAAAGCCACCGTCTGCAGTGCCGGCATCCCATATGGGTGACAGTTTGAGTCCCAGCTTGTTTGTTTTCAATTGTAATTGTTTCACTTACAATCCAGCTCCCTGCTAACGCACCTGGGAAAGCAACGGAAGATGGCCCAAGTCCTTGGGCCCCTGCACACACTTGGCAGACCCAGAAGAAGCTCCTGTCTCCTGGCGTCAGATCCACTCAGCTCCAACCACTGTAACCATTTAGGGAGTAAACCAGTGGATGGAAGATCTCTCTCTCTCTCTGTCTCTTTCTCTCTCTCTCTGTAACTCTGCCTTTCAAATAAATAAATAAATCTTTACAAAAAATTCTATTTTCTTAAAGAAGTTATGCATATTAACTCTAGTTTATTATTAATAAAGTTAGCTAGAATTATGGCTACATATAAATATTGTAAAAAAAAATTCCAAACATTTTACTGCATTGGTTACAATATTAAAGTCAAAGCCCTTCCTACACTTGTTTCAAAAATAAACAAATTTTACAACTGACAGATGACAGTGAACATTGTTATGAAAAAATATTTTGATTATGTTAAAAGTCATGAAAATTAGATTATGTTAAAATATAGGAAAACATATCAGACTGACATTTATTTTCATGCATATTCACTGCCAAAATTTTACTATATTCTCATTTATCTGAAATTTGTTCTTAGTGTCCCAATATTTTTTTCTTTTTAATATTTATTTATTTACTTGAAAGTCAGAGTTACAGAGCAAGGAGAGACAAAGAGAGAGAGAGAGGTCTTCCACCCACTGGCTCACTCTCCAGATGGCCGCAATGGCCAGGACTAGGCCAGGCCAAAGACAGGAGCCAGGAGTTTCATCCAGGTCTCCCACATGGGTGGCAGGGGCCCAAACACCTGGGCCATCCTCTGCTGCTCTTCTTAGGCCATTAGCAGACAGCTCGATTTGTAGTGGTGCAACCAGGACTTGAAACAGCACTCTTATGGGATGCCAGCATTAGATGGCAGATTTACCTGCTTTTCCACAATGCTAGCCCCAAGTCCCAATCTTGAAACTATAAACAACCCACTACATTCTTTATAATATCACAAGCAAGAAAAACAAAATGAAGAAGATTCCTAAGTTTTTACAGGAAACAATTACTGTGTAATACTAAAAAAAAGCTACTTAAAATGTCATATTCGCTGGTCTTCTGAAAGTGATGGTATTTAAACAAATACTAACTTTCTTGATTCTTAAATATTTTCAGAAACTTCCATCTTCTAATATTTTAAATACTTTTCCACCCAATGAGCACAGGAATTGAAACTCACCATACACTCCAGTTATCCAAATTAAGAACCAAACAGTGAGGTTCAGATCTTGGTGTCATATAGTGCTTCAAGGCATGCTGCTCCTTTGAATCTCTGCCACAGCCCTGGAGAATCACAATCATAAACTTCAAAGCCACAAAAACTCACCAACAGAGGAGAGAATTCATAATCTATCACAATCAAGTGGTTCAAGAAATTCTGCCCTTCTTGCAATTTGAAATATAAAATTGTTAGACTCCTAGAGTCTAGACCTTGTTAAGATTTAAATATCTGTAGGCAACCAAAGACATTCAAGGAGGAAGATGTTTAGAAAACAATGCACTTCAAGTGCTCTTCTCCAACTTGCTCCCCCCCCCCCCCCCCCCAGGCAGAGTGGATAGTGAGAGAGAGACAGAGAGAAAGGTCTTCCTTTTGCTGTTGGTTCACCCTCCAATGGCCGCCACGGCTGGCGCGCTGTGGCTGACGCACCCGCGCTGATCCGATGGCAGGAGCCAGGTGCTTCTCCTGGTCTCCCATGGGGTGCAGGGCCCAAGCACTTGGGCCATCCTCCACTGCACTCCCGGGCCACAGCAGAGAGCTGGCCTGGAAGAGGGGCAACCGGGACAGAATCCGGCGCCCCGACTGGTACTAGAACCCGGTGTGCTGGTGCCGCTGGGTGGAGGATTAGCCTATTGAGCCGCGGCGCAGCCTCCAACTTTTTCTTTCCAATCTCAATAAGCTCACACTAATGTAGGACTCATTAATTCTGATTGGGACCTCTTAGCAGCTCTTAACTTCAGCTTCCTTCTCCACATACTTTTTTTCAGTTTAATGTTCCTGAAACAAAGCTCTATTCATATACAATTTTAAAATTAAACTTGCCCTCTTAAACTCTTTTCTAATGAACAAACTAGGTACTCTCTTACCTCAGCCTACATTTCCAGCATATTCTTCTATTTCCATACCAACTATAGCTAAAATATACTCAGCACTTCTACAACTATACAGTTTGGTTCATGTAATTCTATTTGCTCTAGAATCCTTCACCGTTACTATCACCTGACCAAATCCCATCTACTCTTCGGAATCTTGTTCAAAAGCCACCACCTCCCAGAAGACTATGATTATCTTTCCAGGAGAAAAAAATACTGTAACCTTCCTGTAAACAAAATCCTATAAAACATGGTACAGGGGCAGGCGTTTGGCACAGTGGGTAAGTCACTCATTGAAATGCTCACATCCCATAATCCAAGTGCCTGTTTCATCTACTCTGTTCTGATCCAGCTTCCTGATAAAGTACACTCTGGGAGGCAGAGGTGATGGCTCAAGTCCTTGGGTCCCTGCCACACGCAAGGGAGACCTGGATAGAGTGGTAGGCTCCTGGCCTCAACCTGGTCCAGCCCTGGCTAATATAGACACTAGGGGTGGCGGGGGTGAATCAGCAGATGAACATCTCTGTCTCTCCCTCTCGCAATCTCTCTTGCTCACTGTCTTTCAAATAAAATGAAAACAAATGAATAAAAAATTTTGTAACCGGTATAAATTCCTGGTGGCATTCCTTATTTTCTGTTCTGTATTTAAGTTAAGATATTTATATCCTCTCTACCCGGTACTATAAATTCCAAAGGCTCAAACTGATAGAGAAATGTTAAAACACCTAACACATGGAAGGTAACTGATAAGTATTAATTGAACAAGTAAATGGGAGACTTTGGGGGCCAGCATTGTGGAGTAGCAAGTTTAAGCCGCCGATTGCAATGCTAGCATCCCATACAGGTGCTGGTTTGAGTGCTGGCTGCTCCACTTCTGATCCAGCTCCCTGCTAATGTGCCTGGGAAAGCAGCCGAAGGTGCCCAAGTACCTGGGCCCCTGCACCCATGTGGGAGAATCAGATGAAGCTCCTGGCCCTAGCTTCGGTCTGACCCAGCACCAGCCATTTGTGGACATTTAGGGAGTGAACTAGTGGATAGAATATCTCCCTCCATCTCTCCCTCTCTCTTTGTAACTGTCTGCCTTTCAAATAAAATAAGTATCTTAAAAAAAAAACGGGGGGGGGGGGGAGGACTTCAACCTAAAAGATACATAGGTTTATTTATAAAAGAACAAAACCATATTTTCTGCCACCTGAAACAAGGTCAGATCACTGTTAAGAAATATATCTTCACTGTGTACATATAAGAACTAGGGTACCAACTTTTAAACAGACCATACTACAATAGCTGGTATTGTTTCTACTGCCGCTAAATAGGCTTTGGAGAATACACATCAGTGGCTTCTAATTCTTTACGATATCAAACACTACCTGTTTAATTTATCCCCCTCAATGTTTAATTCCAAAATAAATAAATTAAAATTTGATGCTAATTTTAAAAATGTAACATCTGAGATCATTTGAAACACAAGAAGGAGTTATCATTTTTATTTATTTATTTTTGGCCAGGCTTAATTAGACAGTGAGAGAGAGAGAGAGAGAGAGAGAGAGAGAGTTATAGACAGTGAGAGAGAAACAGAGAGAAAAGTCTTCCTTCTGTTGGTTCACTCCCCAAATGGCCACTGTGGGCAGCGCTGCGCCAATCTGAAGCCAGGAGCCAGGCACTTCCTCACGGTCTCCCATGTGGGTGCAGGGACCCAAGCACTTGGGCCATCCTCCGCTGCCCTCCTGGGCCACAGCAGAGAGCTGGCCTGGAAGAAGAGCAACCAGGACTAGTATCCGGCGCCCCAACCGAGACTAGAACCCAGGATGCCAGAGCCACAGGCGGAGGATTAGCCAAGTGAGCCACGGCGCCGGCCCATGAAGGAGTTATCTTGAGATAACAATTAAGAATCACTAGTGGGTCCAGCACTGTGGCGCAATAGGTTAATTCTCTGTCTGAGGTGCCAGCATAACATAAGGGCACCAGTTCTAGTCCCCACTGCTCCTATTCCAATCCAGCTCTCTGCTATGGCCTGGGAAAGCAACAGAAGATGGCCCTAGTGGGCCCTGCACCCATGTGGGAGACCTGGAAGAAGCTCCTGGCTTTGGATCAACACAGTTCCAGCCGTTGTGGCCATTTGGGGAAAGGAACAGCGGATGGAAGACCTTTCTTTCTATCTCTCCCTCTGCACTGTCTGTAACTCTACCTCTCAAATAAATAAATAAAATGTTTAAAAAAAAAAAAAGAATCACTAGCTAAGAGTGCAGAAGACAGCTAGTGGGATGAACATGAACAGTTAGTACTGACACCATCTTACCCCGAGGAATTAAAAAGGGAGCAGAATAAAATTTATAACAGGAAATATATTCTGAAAAATATAAAATAGTAAAATATATTCATACTCATCATCTGTATGAAGAGGCTCAATTTTCAAATGACAAATAAGCAATAGAAACTTTTTTTTCTTTTTTTTTTTTTTTTTATTTGGAAGGCAGAAACACTGATCTCTTATCCTCTGGTTCACTCCCCAAGTGCCCACAACAACCAGGGGTTTGGCCAGGCCAAAACCAAGAGCCGAGAACTCCATCCATGTCTCCCAGATGTGTGGCTGGGAGACTACCATTTGAGCCATGACCTGCTGCCTCCCAGAGTCTGCAATAGCAAAGAGCTGGACATGGAGCCCAGAATCAAACCCAGGCACTCTAATATGCAACACAAGAATCTTAACCAGCATCTTAACTGCTAGACCAAACACCAGCTCCTAATGTAGGCTGTTTAAGCTTTCATTATACTCTTATGACAATGGCTAAAATAAAAATTCTGACAATACTAAATGTTGGCAAAGATACTGAAAAAGGAAATTACTCATACATTGCTGGTAGGAACATAAAATGGTACAGTCACTCTAAAAAACTGCAGTTTTGTTTTGTTAAAACATTTATTTTATTTAGTTGAAAGAGTTACAGAGAAAGGGAGAGACAGATCTTCCATACACTAGTTCACTCCCCAAATGGCCACAATGGCCAAGGTCCCAAGAGCTTGCTCTCAGTCTTCCACATGAGTGCAGGGGACCAAGAACTTGGGCCATCCTCCACTGCTTTCTCAGGCACATTAGCAGGGAGCTGGATCAGAAGTGGGACAGCCAGGACTTGAATGGGCATCCATATGGGATGCCGATACTGCAGGTGACAGTTAACCTGCTGCACCACAGTTCCAGAACCTTGGCAGTTTCTTAAAAATCTAAACATTTAATTATCAGAGGACCCAGCAATTTCACTCTTAGACATTTATCCTAAAGAAATAAAATCTTAGGGCCTATACTATGTAATACTGTTCATGTAACATTGTTTAAATTACAAAATTTTTTGAACTAGATAACAGAGTAGTAGTAGCCAGATACTAGGGAGAGGCATAATAGGGATATATGATTATAAAAGGGTAATGAGTTCTTGATGATGTTGGAACAATTCAGTGTAATTTTTATTAATTTACAATTTATTTGAGAGTCAGAGAAAGAACACCACTAGCTAGTTCATTCCTCAAATGCCTGTAATGGCCAGGGCTTGGCTGGGACAGAAGATAGGAGGCAGGACCCAGGAATATAAACCAGGTCTCCCACATGGGTGGCAGGAACCCAATTAGTTGAACCATCACCACTGTCTCCCATGATCTGTACTGGCAAGAAGTCACAATCAGGTGCTAGACCCAGGTATAAAACTTATGCACTTTGTGGGATGCAGATGTCTTCACATTAGGCTAAATGCCTGTTCCAAATTCATTATCTTGACTGTAGTGATGGGCACACAAATCTGTGGTAATAAAAGTATACAGAACATAATGCCCACACAAATGACAGAAAATACTAGAGGGATCTGAATGAGGCCAGAGGACTATATCAATGTGCATAATATTTTAAAAAACCATGTACGTGGCGTTAACACTAGGCAAAAAAATCTCTGTATTATTCTTTAGAACTGTATGTGAATCTATGATTTTCTCAATGACATCTTCAATTTTAAAAAATGAAAAAATTTCTGTCTGCCTCATGTTGAAATTCAATATAGGCTAGTAGCCAGGTTCCTAACATTTAAAGTTGTCACCACTAAGGGTGACTGAAAGGTTCTAACATTTAGTAACATGGCAATTGCTGTGAGCTGGTGTATCAGACACTGTGATGCACCAGCCAAATATTCTCTCACCCTGCATGACCATAGTATTCATTCCCCCAACTCTTGGGAATGTGGCTTACTGAGAGGGTCTGAGCTCAGTCCATCCATTCCCAGGAATTATTGTCACAAAAGGGGGCTGCCTTGCCCAGGTTCCTACACCACGCAAGGGGCAGTGCATATCTAGTAACTTGTCTACACACAGGTACAAGACTTGGCTGCTTGTTTCAATTCAGGACATCTCTGAAGGATCACAGTTAAATGTGGGGCTGGCTGAGGCTCTATTGCAATTCATCCCTTCAACCAATTTCTCCCTCTGCCTAAAACTGCTTCCATCTTACTGGTTTGGTACTTGAGAACATGCACCAATACAGTACCTATATACAAATCTGTCTCAGACCTGGTTCCCCAGAAAACAAGATCTACACCGGCTGGCATCATGATTATCCAGATCGTACTTACAGGTAATACTTTCTAATACAAGTTGAAAGAGATTTCTAAAACCCCTTATTGATCCAAACATAGGCATACCTGATGGCCACATTTAAGACACAGCCAAACTGAAGGGTTTTCTTCTGTTTCTTCTTCAGATTTGTCTTTTAGTTTATTGTCCATCTTACAGTCTTGGCAAATATTCCACTCCACATCCACCAGCGCCCTTTTCAGATTACTTTGTTCCAGTCCTTTTCTAATGTGTCTGCACATAGGCTCTATTAAAATGGTAAAGAAGAAATACAGAAGATAAAAAGAGCTTCCTTCAATTAACCTCAAAACTTAACCTTTATCAAACTTCAAAATAAATTTATTGTATAAACAGATAATCTGAAAACTTAAAATCTGATACTTGAGCATTTGATTGAGAGAAAAGAATCTTATGCAAATTTGAAATTTTGCTCTTTGAATACCTTATAACCACCACTGCCCATATAGATTCATTCCACATTATTTGGCTCTTTTCTTTATACTAAGGCCCTTTATCATATTTCCAACTCTCCTTATGGTAACAGGCTTACAGGGAATACTTTTGTTTAAAAAGGCAACATTCCTCTGCTTAACAGGTATCCTGAATTTGATCTGCAGTGAATCTCTGGAGTTCAACGAATGCAATCTTTTAGTTGGTTACAAGCACGGCTGTGAGGGAACGGGCATGCAAAAACTGACACTGAAGGCCAGTGCCGCGGCTCACTAGGCTAATCCTCCGCCTTGCGGCGCTGGCACACCGGGTTCTAGTCCCGGTTGGGGCAACGGATTCTGTCCCGGTTGCCCCTCTTCCAGGCCAGCTCTCTGCTGTGGCCCGGGAAGGCAGTGGAGGATGGCCCAAGTGCTTGGGCCCTGCACCCCATGGGAGACCAGGAGAAGCACCTGGCTCCTGCCATCGGATCAGCGCGGTGCGCTGGCCACGGCGGCCATTGGAGGGTGAACCAATGGCAAAAGGAAGACCTTTCTCTCTGTCTCTCTCTCACTGTCCACTCCGTCTGTCAAAAAAAAAAAAAAAAAAAAAAACAAAGTGACACTGAAATTTCAAAACAGCAGCAGAATGAGTAATTTTATTTTTTGTTCATCGTTGGTGGTTAAAATGAAAAGAATCCCTGCTGTGTAATTACTGTGAACATCTTCCTCTGTGGATATGGTGGCATCTGGATGTGGGGACAGGGAAGATATTAACTAGTGCACATACCCCTGGCATCTGTCACAGCAATGTGCAGAATGTAATGGAATTTTCTAAGAAATGTTTTGTGACTTCAAAAATAAATTTAGTGAACATAACAATAGTTTGTAGAGAAGATCCTTCATTCACTCAGTAATACACCTGTTGTTGGCTAGGACTGTGCAAGATGCCAGGGAACCTACAAACAATCAAGGCACAGTTCTTTGTTGAAAAAAAAAAAAGGATTCATTCATTTATTATTTGGAAAGCACAGCAGTTGGGGGAAGGGGATATCTTCCATTAGCTGGTTCACTTTCTAAACTGGCTGCAACATCTGGGGCTAGCCAAAGCCAAAACCAGGAGCCAGGAACTCCATCCACGTCTCCAACATGAGTGACAGGGCCCAAGCGCTTGGGAGATCATCTGCTGCCTTCCCAGACACATTAGCAAGAGGCTGGATTGGAAACAGCTGGGACCTGAACCAGCACTCATAAGGGATGCCAGCACTGCAAGCAGCAGCTTAACCCGCTGTGCCACAATGTCAGCCCTGCAATTCTTCTTTGTGAGTAGCTAACATTCTGGGGAAAAAGGCCAGCTAAATCACGTGCAGGACACATGCTGTACCAGCCAAAGAGGAGAAGGCTAAAGCTGCCAAAAGTTTCCCAGGAAAGGTCACATCTGTAGAGTCCTAGATGATAAGAGCAGTAATAAATTCTGATACTGACTGCACACTTCATATAAGCTGTGCTAGCTATTTTGCATACCTTACCTCACTGAATCCTCAAATTCATCCTAAGGCAAGGGAGAAAAATAATATATAGTGTCCAAGGTCATAGAACTATTGAGTGGCTACGGTACATGTGGGCTCAAGTCTTTCGGACTTTATAATTCAAGTATTAATCATGACCTCTGGGAAAGAAGAGCAATCCCAAAAGGCCAGTCTCATGAACCAAGGCATTTAGTGCACACTGTCTTCCCAAATGGTGGACTCACACATGTATAAAAACTGTCCAACTGCATCGAAGACTGAAAACCCTGTTGTGGCCAGGAATGTAAAGGGCTGGAAAGCCATTTTATGGGACTTGAACTGTTCCAGGGACACCAGAGGTTTATATGCAGGGAGAGGCAGAGAGAGAGAGAGAGAGAGAGAGAGGTCTTCCATCCTCTGGTTCACTCCCCAACTGGCTGCAACAGCAGGAACTGCACCTATCCGAAGCCAGGAGTGAAGAGCTTCCTCCAAGTCTCCCACATAGGTAGAGGGGCCCAAGGACTTGGGCCATTTTTCTACTGCTTTCCCAGGCCACAGCAGAGAGCTGGGTCGGAAGTGGAGCAGCTGGGACCTGAACAGGCGCCCAGGCACTTTACTCACTATGCCACAGCACCAGCCCTAACACCAGAGGTTTAGAAGCTAGTCAAGTGGCACCTGAAGAAAGCACACAAAGAAAACAAAATAGGAATGCAGATGAGTAGAAAAACTACTAAATTCCAGTAGTCAAAGAAACACAAAAGAAAAAAAGGTGAATTTCTTAACTTAACAGCAGAAGGGGCTGGCTTCCGATCATGGCAGCTCTCCGCTATGGCCTGGGAAGGCAGTAGAAGATGGCCAAAGTCCTTGGGCTCCTGCACCCACATGGGAGACCCAGAGGAAGCTCTGGCTCCGGCTCCCCATTCCCCTCTCCTCCCCCTCCCCCTTTCACTCTGCCTCCCTCTCTGCCTCTGCCTTTCAAATAAATAAATAAATCTTTTTTAAAAATGAACAGAAATGTTTACAAATAATATTAACAAATGCTGGTGAAGGTTTAGGGAAATGGTCACTTTACTATGTCACCAAGAGGCCTGTAAATTAATAAAACATCTTGGGATGGAAATCTGGCAACAGAATCAAAAGAACCTTTTGTTTTATACCCTTGCAGTCAGCAATTCTACTTATAGCATCTGTAACAAGAAAATAACTGAATGTACAGAGATTCAGATACAAAGATGTTTATTACTGTTCAATTTGTAATGCTAAAAAGCTAAAGATTACCTAAATCTGAAACAGCAGGGAATTAGCTAAATAGATTATGAAACAGGTGCCCATGGTCTTTATAGAATAGAATACACCATTAAAAATGTTGTTGAAGACTATTAAATCACATGTAGACATAAACATTCTTAAATGCAGACTATGTAACAATATACACCTTGATCCCATTCATATATTAAAGTAAGAGATACAAACCACTTTTCATACTCAATAGGTGAAATATACCTGGGGATTCAGAGGAATCATCAATTGGAACAGTTTTTCCCTTTGTCCGTTTCTTTCCCATGTTGGCACTTTACGGATTACTTACTGACACAAAATACAATCTAGAAAGCAAGATAAAAGTTAACCTGACCAGAAAAAAAGTATATTGAATACTTCTCATTGAAACAAAAATATAATGAAGCCACATTTCTTTTACAAGGCTATACAGTTTATAATTTACAAAGACTATTCACACCTATCATCTGGTTTTCATTACGAACTCTTAAGTAGGTAGGATAGAACTGCCCTTGTTTTTCATAGCTTGGAAAAAATGACTCTTAACAAGATGTAAATGTAAACATCAGCAGAGAATCACAGTGTTCTTATCAAGATCTCTCAAAGAGTCTCAGCACTGAATACTATCAGCAATTTGACTCTTCACCACAAATGCGGAATGCACTTTTAAACTACTAATTTCCTTGCCTTCTAAGTCACCTTTCTTAGCTCTGCAGTCTATGAATTGATCATTTCGTTAACAAAAAATTTTTAAAAATCTGAAATCTCCTAAAGGACGCTAGAATCACAAAATAACTTCAAAGACAAATATAAAAAGTGATACATTCTTCTACATTTTAAGTTTCAGGATTTCCTCTGTTACTAGCTAACCAGGAATTGATTGCAACTGCCTTCTCAACTATTTACATTACTGTGTTCTTTCTGAGTGTCTCACATTCTGGGAAGAAAGACAGCTAAATATGGTGCAGGGATCTTCAATATATACTGTAGTAGCCAGTTTAGAAGGAATACATCAAATCTTTACCTCCTTAGTCAACAATTCAAAATTAGAAAATAAAAAGTACTAAGAGATCATAAAAATTGACCCTTAACAGTAATTTTAAAAAGTTGTAATTTTATATTCAGAAGAATAACTTATTAGTGTCCAAATCTCTTGAATGACTTTAACAGCTATTTTACCTGAGCTCATCATTTAAGTTCTGATTTCATAAATGGAAGGTAAGACCTGCAACATTTATTTTTGAAAACATTTCCAGTTAATTCTGATCTTTAGTTGTCATTGCTGCTTTGACCTAAAATCTTAGAAGTATTCATTTTACTATTGATGAGTTAGTGTAATTAATGGCAATTCAAAAAGGTTTGTGTGAAAGAGAGTGCCCCATAAAGTAACTAGTAAGACTACCTTTCCAAGACTAATCTAAAATATTTACAAAATAAATAAAGGAACACAAAGTATATACTATATACAAAACAACATACATTGTAAATACTTTTCTTCACCCTAAAGATAACACTTTACATAATGTATCTTATTTAGAAGTATAGACTTGAGAAACAAATGAACACAATAGTACCCAAATTCTAGCCTCTAATCCAACTCCCTCATCTATGCAGTATTCCAGATTCATCTTGCCATTTTTATCCCATCACCCTTTTTTATTTATTTATTTTTTAAGATTTATTTATTTATTTGAAAGGCAGAAAGAGAGAGACAGAGATAGAGAGGTCTTCCATCTGCCTGTTCACTCGCCAAATGGCCACAACGAACCAGGAGCCAGGAGCTTCTTCCGGGTCTCCCACACGGGTGCAGGGGCCCAGGGTCGAGGGCCATCTTCCACTGCTTTCCCAGACCATAGCAGAGAGCCAAAAGCATTTAATAGGTTCCCAGGCCACATTCCTGGACTTTGTATTCATGGCCCTTCCTAATTTGGTTCCAATGTTCTGGTAATCACGATTCTCATTACTCTACAGCAGCAACAACAAAGCACTCAAGTTACAAATATATGGTGCTTTTGATCTTCAAAGTTCTTTCTCAAACATCACATGATCTTCACAACCCTTTGACATAAGGGTATTTCACTAAAGGAGGAAACTCAGCAACAAAAGATCAGAGTGACAGAGATGGAACCAAAACGCAGATCTTTGGGGTTCCAAGACCAGCACTCTCCCTTCCAATCAAGTCCTTCTCTTCACTATTTCCACTCCAAAACTCTTTGGCCCCCACCTTTACGACTTCAATTTCTAATAGAGACGTTCTTTCCATTTGTCCAACATCTTCCCAATCCTCCAAGCTCTCCATATCAATGAAGCCTTAGGCAACCATTTTAAATAAACCTCCTTGCTGAATTTCCAGAGTTTATTCATCCTGCCCCTTCATCAGATACTGCAGCAGACTGCTTCTTAAATCTTTAACATGGACACATGTTATTTCTCTATCTGGAATCTAAAGTTCTTACAGAAAGAACTGGCATTATTATTATTAACATTTTAAGTGTGACTTCTGAATTGCCTATGCCATCTAGCATAGTTAGTTCGAATAGGTTCTCAGGGAATACTTTTTGCATTGAAATAGAAAAACAGAATAGTACCTGAGGCATAAAGGGTGATTACAAGATGCAAAGGTAGATACGGAAGAATGAAGCAAACAAGTTCTGGTGAAAAAGAAAAGGATGAAGAATGAAGAAGTCAGAAGTCTGCAGTAGGGAAGACAGCACTAGTAAACTGGTATGAGGATTGCAGCTCAGACTCCAAAGGGAAATTTGAAAGCCGAAGTGTAGTTGCTGCAGGCAGAGGACAGAAGGAGACAATTCAATGCTGTGGAAAGAGCGCCAGTGATTTTTTTTTTTTAACTATAAAGGCAACAAATGAGACGTGAGAAGACTACTGTGAGTGCCATCACCTATAAAAAAAAATCAATAAACAATTAGATTTTTCCCTCCTTAGGTGAGTCTTAGATGAGAATTAGAGTTTTAGTCAAATTATTCTTTGCAGCACGCCACACTAAATATCAATCACAGCCAGTCTTGCCGGCTCTCCTATCAATCCAACTCCCTTTCCTCTCGGCCCACACCCCCAGTCTTCCCCGGCCTATTCGATTCCATTAAGATTGTAAAGCGTGTGGGTAACTTGATCAGCAGGTCTGAAACGTCTTTCGAGTTTTGCGATCGGTCCTCTCGTAAGAGCATTCAATCAGATAAATGACAGGCCTCTGTTTTGCCTCCTAAGCACATGGACGGACGCAGCTACCAGCCCAGACGCTACTCGTAGGGTGCTCTCTACGGGGCGCTACCCACCGACCTGCGCAGCGCCCGCCCCTCTCCCCTTTCCTTCCAACTGTTCCGCACCCAAGGGGGATCCTCCAAGTCCATGGAGCCCAGAAGGGAGCCATCAGCCGCACCTCATTGGCCAGTCCCTGTAACTGACAGAAACTGCAGCCAATAAGAACGCAACACCGGGAAGAGGCCAGGTAACGTGTTTAAAAAGAGAAGGGGCCTACGAGAAGAGAACGAGATTGGGGCAGAAGATTCGAGTTGTCGGAGCGAAGGTAGTCAGGCGAATGGCGACAGCGAGTCAGCGGGACCAGAACTCACCCAGGGAGATAGCACCCATAACTGCATCCCCTCGTGGGTCTTTGGGCCGGGCAGCCAGCTCCGTCTTCCTCCTGGTGACGAATAGAGAGTGACAGAGCCGAAGCCAGAGTGACCCGTGGACGGCAGCAACTTCCGGAACGTGGCATTGTGGGAAGCAGCCTGGGCCCCAGGGTGCCGCAGCGGGGACGCTGGTTGAAGGGCGCTTGCGCGACTACACCGGAAATTCGGGAGGGGGCGTAGGGAGGAGTCAGGCGCCCACGAGGTTTTGCACTCGGGTGTAAACTGTGGAGTCACTGAAATGCTTGTGGAGGGTGCGCCTGAAGCGCAGCGTCTGCTAGCCGGTCACCTTTCTTAAACACGTTGCCGCTAACGGTGGCTAAGTTAAGAACGTTTCCGTTTCCCTCAGTTACCCTAATTCTGACCTATGAACTTACACCATTGAGTGCCTAAGTTATCTTAAATAACCTTACCACACCAGGTCAGAATAAAAAGCTGAAGCAGCGAGAGTGAAGTTTAAAGCAGAACTGGAAGCATTAAAGAATTTCTGAAGGGTAACATTTTTGAAACATTTACTGCTGTAAACACGCACTTTGTACTAAACTGAAATAAATTAAATTCACCATCCTTGAATTCATTTTAAATAAAGACGCAGTAATGCCAAAGCAAAAATATATATATATATATATCAACAGAATAAGAAACGTCCAACTTACTAGTAATGAGATAAAAGTAGATTAATAAAGTGGCATACTAACCTGTCATATGGCCAGAATAACAGTTCATTATATTTCAAGAGCAGAAAGGGGAACTGGTGCACCTTTTTTTAATTAAAAAAGCCGAGATTTTTTTAACGCTTTCTTTTTTAAGCTCCATCGCAGAACTTTTTACAAAACTGTTTTAAACAGAACTTTATACCTGCTTCTTCTGCATGAAACATTTTCCCCCTTGATCTTCCATGGTTGGTATCTGAGAAAGGAATTTGAAATCAGGTAAGATTTGAGGCTCACTAGTCTGGAGGGACATGAGCCATGAGGCCCCTAGTCACATCAGATCTCTAAAACTGCTTAATTTTTTTTAAAGTTTTTTTTTGTTTGTTTTTTTTTTTTGAAAGAGTTAAGAGAGAGGTAGAACCAGAGAGAGATCTTCCATCTGCTGGTTCACTCCCCAAATGAGGACAACAGCCAGAGCTTCTTCTGGGCCTTTTTTTTTTTTTTTTTAAGATTTATTTATTTATTTGAAAGTCAGAGTTACACAGAGAGGAGAGGCAGAGAGAGAGGTCTTACATCCTTGGCTCACTCCCCAAATGGCTGCAACAGACGGAGCTGCACGATGGATGAAGCCAGAAGCCAGGAGCCAGGAGCTTCTTCCAGGTCTCCCCTGAGGGTGTAGGGGCCCAAGCACTTGGACCATCTTCTACTACTGCTTTCCCAGGCGATAGCAGAGAGCTGGATTGAAAGAGGAGCAGCCAGAACTAGGGGATGCCGGCGCTTCGGGCCAGGGCGTTAACCCACTACACCACAGCGCCGGCCCCTTCTTCTGGGTCTTTCACGAGTGTGCAAGGAGCCCAAGGACTTGGGCCATCTTCTACTGCTTTCCTAGGCCATAGCAGAGAGCTGGATTGGAAGATGAGTATCCAGGACAAGAACTGGCACCCATATGGGATGCCGGCACTTGCAGGCTAGGGTTTTAATCCTCTGCACCACAGCGCCAGCCCCTTAAATTGTTTAGTTCTTGCCCACTAGCTAATGACATTCCAGTGATGACTAACTCCAGTAAAACGTGTTCTTGCTTGTTGCAATTTTCTCTCCGGAATATACAGCAGAGTAAGCAGCAGCTAATCAACAGCTGATTAATACTGCTTGTACTAACCAGATTATATGAAACAGATTAATGGTTTGTATTAATCAATGTAATTCTAACTACCCATTTTGTTGTAACCTCCATTTTGTGTTTCTTGTCTTCTTAAAAATAAGTAATCCCCAACCCCAGTGCCATTTGGAGCACATATTCTGGGCAGCTTGAATATAGGTAGCCCACTGGCCATCCTCATTGTCTCTCATAAAGTCTGTCATACTCAGTGTGCCTCAGTTTGCTTTCTAGGCTGGTTTATGTTATTGTCCCAGAAAGGCCACTGCCTCACCAAAGTATTCACCAAGCAAACTACATAATCACTGATCAACCCATATCAACTTAGTTTTCTTCCCTGCCCAGCAATCAATCACTATCTGGTTATTTTTCTTTTTCACCTCTATGTGTATCCTGGTCCCTAATACACAGATATGTAGAAATGTAAGCTCTTGGAGAAGTAGGGCATCTTTGTCCTATTCATGTCTGTAACGTTCATGATTTAGAAGTGCCTGGAACACAGTGTTTGATGATTTATTGAAATGGTGTCATTAGAAATGAAATGCTATACAAGAATCTTCACAGCATCTTTATTCATAATAGTCAAAAAACTAGAAACAGCTCAGTTTTTCTTTAAAACAAGAACACAAAAATAGTATATTCATGCAGGGGAATACTACCAAAGCAATAAAAAACAAAACAATATTCACAAGAACATGGACAGATCTTTAAAATATACTGAGTGACAGCCCTACACAGAAGTACCTGCTGTATGTTTCCAAACATAGTAAATTCCAGAACAGGCAAAACTAATTATGCTGGGGGAAAATGTAACATTATTTGCCTCTTGAGAGAGTTGGGTGGAGACTAAAAAGGAGAACTTTGGGGGTTGATGATAATGTTCTAAATCTTTTTTTTTTTTTAATTATTTATTTGAGAACTAGAGTTACAGTGAAAGGGAGAGAGAGAGAGAAAAGGTCTTCCTTCTGTTGGTTCACTCCCCAAATGGCTGCAACGGCCGGAGCTGCACCGATCTGAAGCCAGGAGCCAGGTGCTTCCTCCTGGTCTCTTACATGGGTGCAGGGGCCCAAGCACTTGGGCCATCCTCCCCTGCTTTCCCAGGCCATAGCAGAGAGCTGGATTGGAAGAGCAGCCGGGACTAGTCAGCTCCCATATGGGATGCTAGCACCGCAGGTGGAGGATTAACCTACTGGCCATGGCACCGGTCCCAATGTTTTATGTCTTAATAGGGTTTCAGTTACACAGGTGTACGCACTTTTCAAAACTCAGTAAATGTACATTTAAGATATGCATTTCCTTTTTAACTCAAAAGAAAACTCAATTAGGACTAATGATAGGCACACTCACAAGGAAAGTGTACTAATCTGCAAGTTACTTTAAAATCTATCGGAAGAACTGGTGTTGTGGTGCAGTGGTTAACCTGCTGCCTGCAATGGTGGCATCCCAAGTGAGTATTGGTTCAAGTCCCAGCTGCTCCTTTTCCAACCCAGTACCCTACTAATGTGCAAGTAAAAGCAGCAGAAGACAGCCCAAGTGCTTTGGCCTCTGCCACCACTATGGGATACCAGTATGGAGTTCCTGGCTTCTGCCTGGCTTAGCCCCAGCCATTGGAGTCATTTGGGGAATAAACCAGAACATGGGAGATCTTACTCTCTTTCTGTAACTGCCTTTCAAAGAAACAAATTTAAAAGTAAATAAAATGTATCAGAAAAAAATGGATTGATGAGTGACAAAGCAGGTAAAGTAAAAAATGTTATGCTGATCTCTCTACATCTTTGCTTTTAATCTCAGAGCTGGTGTTTGGTGCTCAAATTCCTGCTGTCTGCTGATACATGCCATGGTAGGCAGCATGTGATGGCTCAGGTACCTGGGTTCCTGCCACCCATATGGAAGACCCAGCTGGAGGTACCTGGCTTTGGCCTGGCTTCACTCCAGCTGTTTGGGGCATCTAAGGAGTAAACTAACCGTTGGCAGATCTCTGTCTCCACTTTTCAAATAAATGAAAATAAACTTTAAACATTTTTAAAAACAGGTTTCTTATCCTCAACAATATCAACATTTTGGACCAGCAAGTTCTTAGTTGTAGTGGCACATTCTCTGGATTGTAGACAACTGAGTAGCATCCCGAGGCTCCACCTACTAGATGCCAGTGGCATCGCTCCAGTTGTGACAACCCAAAATGTGTTCTGACATTGCTCAACAGGGGTGAAGGCACTCTTCCTTGAGAAATGTTCTACTGCTTCACTGTAAAAATCTCTCATCCTTATTTTATGCTTTAGATTTTCTATACCCACGGTTCGAGGAAAAAGAATTAATAACATTGAAAACCATTCACAAAACACAAGCGCCTTCAGATGCAGCTCTGAAGACCTATTTACTATCATCTTTTATTTTTTTAAAGAGAAGATTGTGAAGTTAGCAGTGATAATAGCTACCAGTGAATATCAATACCTACAAACCTTACGACTTTCCTAAAATAAGCGTGCAACACTACAAAAAGTGCACTGCATACAGAATGAGAAGGAACACCCTGTAACTACCCCCCGTGCTGGAATCTCCTTCTAACTCTCCTTTCAGTAACAGAGATAAATAATTCTGCGTATTCACCCGGTCCTCCCAGCTTGGTTACCAGGTAAGAACACAGGCCATCACCCTAGTGTCTTGCTCCTCTATGGTTCATGGACAAGAAGGACCACCACTGCGTGGAGAGACTAGAAACGCTAATTGGGACCCCACCCCTCCCTACCCAGTAGAGATCAGTACCGCGGCAGGACTCCCCAAGGATTCCCACGCATAGGCGCTGCGGGAGCCCAACTTGAGTGGGCTGATCCGCGTCCCAGGACACGGCGCCCGCTCCACTCCGACAGCCAGCGGTGGGAAGCGCCGATGGGGCTGGAATGCAGAGGGCCCTAAAAGGAAGACTCTGCGAGTGAGACGCACCTAACGGGGCCAAAGAATTCCTTCTGTTGATCCGACTTTTGAGGAAAACTCAAGCCGGTGCCGATGTCTAGCCGAACCCACAGATCAGGGCGTCCTTCCGGAACCCGCGGCCTGGCCTGCGCGCATGCGCCAGCTGAGGGCGCGCTCTCACGCCCCCCAGGCCACCGCGCAAGAGCGAGGAGTAAAGGTCGGGCGGCCGTAACCGCGGATTCCGACGCTTCCTCCAGACGCGACTTGAGCAGTCCGTGCAGCAAGGAAGCCTGGAGCTCCAGCAGTGAGGGAGCTGCTGCCAGAGGTGAGTCTCCCCTCCGCCCAGCAGCAGGGACGGCGGGCCAGGGGCTCCTACGCCGCGGCAGTGCGTACCGCCTTCCCGGAACTGGCCGACGTCGTGGCTCCGCCTCCCCTCGCGCTGCGCGTTCTCTCATTGGTCGGAACCGACCTCGCCCTCGTGCCCCGCCTGCAGCCGGGGCCCGACCTCCCCGTCTCTAGCTGGGGCCCCAGTTCCCGAACGGTGGGCGGCTTTCAGGACGCGGGCGGTGGTGCTCTTTGGCGAACAATAGTAATCACCAAGGCCGAGCCCACTCACCAAACTCAACTTGCATTGTACATCCTTTAAATCGTGAGTCGGAAAATTCTCATCAACGAAAACCGTCTGGCAAATAAATGACATCCCTTGTGACCTCACTTCCTCTGTTGTCCTTTCACTGGTCCTCTGACAGACTTTGTCGATTCCGCTTCATTTTCCAGACCCCAAACTCAATAGGACCCTCTCCCAACTTGACCCTCCCTCTGGGTGACTTTAAACACATAACGTTAAATAAGCGTTGATGACTCCTCAACTTACATCTGCAGCTGAATTCTTCTATGTATCTGTATTCAGCTGCTTTCTGGACATCTCTAAGTGGTGTCTCAATAGGCATTTCATTACTTAATATGTCAAAAACCAAGCTATAGATCGCCACAATCTCCTCCATCTAAATAAATGGCAAATCCATCTTTTCCAGTAGCTGAAAGCCTTGGAATCATGGCTACCTATCTCATGTAATCCATCAGGAAATGCTGTGTGCTCTACTGTGTATGTTCAAAATCTTTTTTTTTTATTATTATTATTTTTGACAGGCAGAGTGGACAGTGAGAGAGAGAGACAGAGAGAAAGGTCTTCCTTTTGCCGTTGGTTCACCCTCCAATGGCCGCCGCTGCAGCCGGCGCACCGCGCTGATCCGATGGCAGGAGCCAGGATCCAGGTGCTTTTCCTGGTCTCCCATGGGGTGCAGGGCCCAAGCACCTGGGTCATCCTCCACTGCACTCCCTGGCCATAGCAGAGAGCTGGCCTGGAAGAGGGGCAACCGGGACAGAATCCGGCGCCCCGACCGGGACTAGAACCCGGTGTGCCAGCGCCGCAAGGTGGAGGATTAGCCTATTGAGCCACCGCGCCGACCGTATGTTCAAAATCTTAATGGTTGCTCACTGCCTTGACCCCCAAGCCATCTTCATCTCTCCAAGTCACGGCAGTACCTGTGTGGTCTCCTTGCTTTCCTCTGTTCTCTTGAGCATCAAGTGTCAGACCTTTTCCAGTGACCTTCCGTATCAGGATAAAAACCAAGGTTCCGTATTTCCAATATAACCTCTTCTATCACCCTGCCCCCTGCTCACCATGCCCTAGCCAGGTGCTCTAGAACCTCCTGCCCCTTTGAACATGCTGTTCCTTCTGCCTAGCGCACCCTTTGCTCAGATAAACACATGGTTTCCTTTTGAGTACCTTCTAGTCTCTTCCATGCAGTCATCTCACAAGAGAGGCCTTGGGACTGGAGTTGCAGTGTAACAGGTTAAGATGCTTCTTGTGATGCCAGAATCCCATGTCAGGGTGCCAGTTCCAGTATCAGCTGTTTCACCTCTGATCCAGCTTCCTCCTAATGTGCCTGGACAGGCAGCAGAAAATGTGCCATATTCTTGGGCTTCCTGCAGAACTGTGGTGTTTAGAATCCTTCCAAAGCAAAGAAGGAATAATGAAGAAAGATTCTGGGCTCTTCCTCCGGTCCTCTCATTTCCTGCCTGAATGTTGGCTGAACCCAACCACAAGAAAGTCAGAAGAGCAAGGTGATGTGGGTTACAGAGGTCAGCTGTCCAGAGCAGAGAAGGGCCAGGAATAGTTTTAGGGTACTTATTTGTCAGCTTTTCATTACTACGGTGAAATATTTATGAAGGAAGAATGTTTATTTTGGCTCACAGTTTTGGAGTTTTGCTGTCCATGATCAGGTGTCCCCCTGTTTTTGGTATCTGATAATCACATTCATAGGAGCAGAGTCCTGAGTTGATGCAAGGCATCACATAGCAAGGGGGAAAGCGGGGAGAGAAAGGATCACATGGCAAGCCAGGAAGCAAGGAAAACAGATGAACTCAACTTGGTTTTTATAACCAGTGTTCTTGAGAGAACTACTATTGATAGCACTCTCCTGTTGACCGGAGAACCTCCCACTAGGTACATCTCCTAAACACTATGAATGGATTAAATTTGGGCCCTTTTGCTGCCATCAACTTTATAACTTTGGGGTTTTAGGAGCTACCCAGAGGCTGGCGCCATGATATAGTGGGTAAAGCCACTGCCTGCAGTGCCAGCATCCCATATGGGCGCCAGTTCAACTCCCAGCTGCTCCACTTCTGATCCAGCTCTCTGCTATGGCCTGGGAAATCAGTAGATGGCCCAAGTGCTTCAGCCCCTGCACCTGCATGGGAGACCCAGAAGAAGCTCCTGGCTCCTCGCTTTGGCCAGTTCCCGGCCACTGTGGTCATCTGGGGAGTGAACGAGCTGATGGATGATCTCTCTGTCTGTCTCTAACTCTGTCTTTCAAATACATAAAAAAAATTATTTTTAAAAAAGCTACGTAAGTTCAAAACACTGTTGAAGCCTAGCAGGCACAAGCGAAATAACTAATTTGCAGGAAAACAGACCACATGATGAACCCCTGAATGAGGCCTTGACAGTTGGGATTGTGAAGAAGGGGCAGGTTCTGGTCTGTACTATTTCTCTTGTGCTCAGAGAGGGCAGAGCCCCCACCACTATAGTGCTTTCCTGCCTCAAAGAGCTTTCTACCAGAAACTGTCCCCACTATGCCTCCTCCTCCACTTGTCTACATGTTACCCTACCTTCAAGGTTCAGCTCAGATCCTGCCTCCTTCAAATGTTTCCTTATGGCCCATTTCATTGATACTACCCGCATCTTAATAGAAAGATTATATCTTAGTACCTATACCTATAAAGTCATTTAACACTTTGCTTTTTATTATTGTTGTCCTGTATCTTTTTAGATCTACAGCCTTATCTTCAAGCTAAATAGAAAGCTCCAATGAGGCGTGAAGAATGAAGTTCTACATACAGTAACTGTAACTGTTCAATAAACCTTTACCAAAGAGGAAAAAGAATGCAATGAAGACACTGCTGACTTCAATAATAGTGTGTGATTACACAGAATAAAGTCTGTTTGAAAAGGTAAGCCAAGTTTTCTTGCAACAAGATTGAGCTTTGTTTTTTTGTGTTTTTTTATTTTTTTGTCAAAAGTGTAACTCCCCCCTCCCCTTTTCCTTTTGAATTTAGAAGTACTACAGCAAATCATGAAATGTCAAGTGGTATAAAAGCAGAGAAATTAGAAGTGAAAAAGTCTTTTCCTTCTTCCCTAACTTGTTTTAGCTAACTGACTTCTTTTATGCATATGTTATCATGTAAAGATAACATAATACAAATGGTCCTTAAATGGTTTGGCTTAAGAGTTTTCCACTTTATTATGGAGCAGAAAGAAGTGTGTATTCAGTAGAAACCAAACTTGGGATTCTGAATTATTTATTTATTTATTTATTTATTGACAGGCAGAGTGGACAGTGAGAGAGAGAGACAGAGAGAAAGGTCTTCCTTTGCCGTTGGTTCACCCTCCAATGGCCGCCATGGCTGGCGCGCTGATCCGATGGCAGGAGTCAGGTACTTATCCTGGTCTCCCATGGGGTGCAGGGCCCAAGGACTTGGGCCATCCTCCACTGCACTCCCTGGCCACAGCAGAGAGCTGGCCTGGAAGAGGGGCAACCGGGACAGAATCCAGCGCCCCGACCGGGACTAGAACCTGGTGTGTGCCGGCGCCACAAGGCAGAGGATTAGCCTAGTTAGCCGCAGCACCGGCCTGGGATTCTGAATTTTGATCTTTGATCCTCTCCCAAGCTAGGGACATACAGTGCAATACTACTTTCTTGCAGTAGTGGGCGGTGACAGTGAGCTACTGCTGCCAGTCAGTAACAATCACAGATGTAAACTGATACTCTTCAATGTACTATATTGCTAAGCTTGGTAAGTTGGGTGTATTAAATGCATTTCTGACTTAGGAATTTTTCAACTTAATTGTGGGTTGGTTTATCAGAACAAAACACCATTGTAAGTCAAGAAGAATCTGTATTTGTACTGTTCTGCAATATGCTTTTTTTAGGTAACCAAATATGAACATCAATGGCAATGTACATTTAAAAAATATTTATTTATTTATTTTCAAAGATTTATTTATTTATTTAATTGAGAGGCAGAGGTCCTTCATCCGCTGGTTCACTCCCCAAATGGCCGCAACAGCCAATCCGAAGCCAGGATCCAGAGCTTTTTCCAGGTCTAAAATATGCGTACAGGGGCCCAAGCACTTGGGTCATCTTCCACTGCTTTCCCAGGCCATTAGCTGGGAGCTGGATCAGAAGAGGAGCAACTGTGACTCGAACTAGCACCCACATGAGATAGTGGTGCTTCAGGCAGAGGCTTATCCTATTATGCCACAGTGCCGGCCCCCTTATTCGTTTATTTCAAAGGCACAGTGACAGAGGGGGAGAGGCAGAGAGATCTTCCATCTGCTGGTTTATTCCCCAAATGGCTGCAATGGCTTTAGCTGGACCACTCCTAAGCCAGGAGCCTGGAACGCCATCTAGGTATCCCATGTGAGTGGAAGGAGCCCAAGTACTTGGACCATCTTCCTCTGCTTTCTAAGGTGCAGTAGTGGGGAGCCAGATTGGAAAGAGAACAGCCAGGACTTGAAACAACACTTAGATATGGGATGACAGCATCACAAGCAGTGACTTAACACACTGCACCACAATGCCAGCCCCACCCACCCCCCTTTTCTGCACCCCCATTTTTAAAGACTCACTTGGGTGCTGGTACTGTGGCACAGCGGGATAACGCCCTGGCCTGAAGCGCCAGCATCCCATAGGGGTGCCGGTTCTAGTCCCAGCTGCTCTTCTTCCAATCCAACTCTCTGCTATGGCCTGGGAAAACAGTAGAAGATGGCCCAAGTGCTTGGGCCCCTATACCCTCGTGGGAGACCTGGAAGAAGCTCCTGGCTCCTGGCTTCGGGTCAGCACAGTTCCGGCCATTGGGGCCATCTGGGGAGTGAACCAGCGGATGGAAGACCTCGTTCTCTATCTCTACCTCTCTGTAACTCTGTCTTTCAAATAAATAAAATAAATCTTAAAAAAAAATAAAATAAATAAAATAAAATAAAGACTCATTTGATTATTTGAAAGGCAGAGTTACAGAGAGGCAGAGGCAGGGAGATCTTCCATCCGCTGGTTCACTCCTTAAATGACCACATGAATGGGCTGCACTGATCCAAAGCCAGGAGCCAGGAGCTTCTTGTGGGTCTCCCACATGGGTGCAGGGCTTCTGCTTTCCCAGGCCATAGCAGAGAGCTGGATTGGAACTGAAGCAGCTGGCTCTCAAATCTGGCCATATGGGGTGCCAGCACTGCAAAGCGGCTTTACCAGCTATGCCACAGTGCTGGCCCCACAATGCTGGCCAGTCCCTTTTAATTACCTTAAAATCCTACTCTTTGGATGTGTATTTATTAAACTAGTCTCTTATTATTGAAGTTACATTATTTTTGTTTTATTTTCTTACAGACAGTGACAGTGATGCATTGAACCTCTTTAAAATATATTTTTATACAATGTCTGATTTATGTCTTAGGTTCATATGAGTGGAATTTTTTAAAAAGTTTTATTTATTTTATTTGAAAGTCAAAGTTACACAGAGAGAGAAGGAGAGGCAGAGAGAGAGGTCTTCCATCCACTGGTTCACTCCCCAGCTGGCTGCAACAGCTGGAACTGCGCCAATCTGAAGCCAGGAGCCAGGAGCTTCTTCAGGGTCTCCCACACGGGTGCAGAGGCCCAAGGGCTTGGACCATCTTCTACTGCTTTCCCAAGCCATAACAGAGAGCTGGAATGGAAGTGGAGCAGCCGGGCCTCGAACCAGTGCCCATATGGGATGCCAGCACTGCAGGCAGCTGCATTACCCGCTACTCTGCAGCACCGGCCCCAATGAGTGGAATATTTAAATCAACTTTCCTTATACTAGGTTTCCCCCTTATGGCAGTTACTAGACGCTAACCATCTTTTGCCAACTTCCCAAAATTAAGTGGGACTGCCACTTTTAATGTAAGATGGAGTGAGTATATTTTTCTCTGTCTTTACCACTGTGTACAACTAATAATCCTGGACACTATCTATAAAGCATATGCAAAGAGAGTCTGAAAGGTGGAAAGAAGGCAGACTGGCTAGTGATCTTGAGAACCAAGCAAGGATGTGGTGGTGACGTCCCTGGGTATTCTTTTTGCCTCAAGTATCCCAGACATGACACTGGAAAATTAGAAACCCAGAAACACCAATGGTGTGGACCAAAAAAGACAAAAAGCACTAACAAAAACTTGCTCTCTGCAGCTAAAGGACCAGGAAGGGGACAGCCTAGCTAAATAAAAAACATATAGTGAATGTTCTATACTAGGTGAATACCACAGAAAACACTGAGGCCCTGCCCATGTCCATACCAGTAAATGGATCCCAGATTTCACCCTCATTGAATGAAGCACCTAAACCCCTATGCCTCATAAGGACAATATCAGAGAAGTCTGTGTAGGGACCCAGGACTTCCCAGGAGGCCCTAACAGGAAGGACCTCACTGGCCTGTGTCAGATCGGAATACAGGGAAGCCTCTACTTCCACCCTCATGCAGCAGTAACAATGTACCTTTCCCACATCCTGCTAGGGTAATATCAGAGGAGTTGTAGTGGAGAGTCAGGACTTTGACCACAGCCTGGCAGTAACAAGGCCACATCCTTGTCAGTGGAGGGCACATGGGGACCAATAAGTCACTGCTGCAGTTCCCAGCCAGGGGGCACAGTTAGAGGCCTGTAGCAGAGCCAGAACTCCTATTCTTACGCAGCAGTAATGAAGAGCTTCCTTTCCCCCAACCTCATATCAGAGGAGGCTAAGCAGCGAACCTGAACCTCTCCATTTGGCAGTAAAAAGGCAGCACCCCTCTTTCCCAACTGTAGCAGTATAACAAAAAGCTTGCTAAAATAGATTTAATAATATCCATAGTCTCAAAACATGATACCCAAAATGTCCAAGTTTCTTTCTTCTTTTTTTAAGATTTTATTTATTTTATTTGAGAGGTAGAGTTACAGACAGTGAGAGGGAGAGACAGAGAGAAAGGTCTTCCTTCTGTTGGTTCACTCCCCCAGATGGCTGCAACAGCCGGTGCTGTACCGATCTGAAGCCAAGAGCCAGGTTCTTCCTCCTGGTCTCCCATGTGGGTGCAAGGGCCCAAGGACTTGGGTCATCCTCTGCTGCTTTCCCAGGTCACAGCAGAGAGCTGGATTGGAAGAGCAGCTGGGACTAGAACTGGCGTCCGTATGGGATGCCAGCACCGCGGGCGGAGAATTTACCCACTGTGCCGGCCCCATAAAATGTCCGAGTTTCAAGCTAAAACCATTCATCATGCCAAGAACCAGGAGGATCTCAAACTGATTGTAAAAGACAATAGATGCCAAGACTATGTTGACAGAATTATCTAGCAAAAATTTTAAACTACTTCAGTGAACAATTGCAAAAAACACTAGAAACAAATAAAAAAAAAAGACTTAGTAAAGAAATAGAAGATGTAAACAAGAACGAAATGGAAATGTTGGAATTGAAAAATACAATACCCTAAATCAAAACTCAGTGAGTGGACTCTACAACAGAAGGAAATGGATAGAGGAAAGGAGCAGTAAACTGGAAGATGTAATGGAAATTATCTAAACTGAACATGAGAATAGACCAAAAGTAAACAGAGTTTTAGGGAGATAAAAGACTGTAATAAAACATTTAACATACATGCAGTAGAGTCTCAGGAGAGGGGAAAAGAGGGCAGGGCTGAAAAAGTGCTCAAATAGCTAGAAACTTCTCAAATTTGTCAAAACCATGAACCTAAAGATACAAGAAGCTGAATGGACCACAAGCAGGATAAGCCCAAAGAAAACCCATGACAAGAAACATCATAATCAAACTTCTGAAAACCAAAGATAAAGAAAAAAAATCTTGGGGCCAACATTGTGGCATAGTGAGTTCAGTTACCACCTATGATGCTGACATCCCATATGAGTGCTAGTTTGAGACCTGGCTGCTCCACTTCTGATCCATCTCCCATGTGCACTAGCAAGGAAGTTGGTACTCGGGCCCCTGCCACCCCTGTGGGAGATCTGGATGAAGTTCTAGGCTCCTGACTGGGAGCCTGACTGGCCCAGCCCCTGCCTTGGGGAGTGAACCAGCAGAAGGAAGATCTCTCCTCTCTCTTTCTCCTTCCTTGTGTAACTCTGCCTTTCAAATAAATAAGTCTTTTAGAATCATCTTTGGGGGCCAACATTGTGGTGTAGTAAGTTAAGCCTCTGTCTGCAGCACCGGCAACCCATATGGGTACTGGTTCGAGTCCTGGGTGCTCCACTTCCTATCCAGCTATCTGCTAATGACACATTATCTCAGCATGTATGTTGTGAATATGTATATGTAGATTGCTTAAAATATTGTTTAATATAAAACCAAAAATTATTTGCCTCAGATGAAGGACTTAGAAAGGAGAGGAGGTCAATGGCAGGAGATTGTAACCTTCCCCTACCATTTAAATTTTTTGTACTTTTAAAAATATATTGGGGCTGGTGCTGTGGCATAGTAGGTAAAGCCGATGCCTGCAGTGCTGGCATCCCATATGGGTGCCAGTTCGAGTCCCAGCAGCTCCACTTCCGATCCAGCTCTCTGCTGTGACCTGGGAAAGCAGCAGAGGATGACCCAAGTCCTTGGGCCCTTGCACCCGCATGGGAGACCTGGAAGAAGCTCCTGGCTCCTGGCTTTGGATTGGCACAGCTCTGGCCTTTGCAGCCAACTAGGGAGTGAGCCAGCAGATGGAAGACCTCTCTCTCTCCCTCTGCCTCTCCTTCTCTCTGTAGCTCTGACTTTCAAGTAAATAAATAAATTTTTAAATAGATATATATTTATAAATATTAATAGAGGTTACTTGAGCTGTGAGATAGTCTTTATTTTTCTTCTTTAGATTCATCTGTTTCTTAGAACAACTAATGAACATTATTATTGACTTAAGAAAAAGAAATTAACCATCCACTTTACTAACCTCTTATTGTGTTCATTCTAGGTTCCCAGTTGTAACCATTTTCTCTTCTGTCCGATAATTTTTTTTTTTTACTACATACTTGGTTTACTTGGTACTACATACTTGCTTTACTTCAATTAAATTGCTCATGCAGTGGTTGAAGGTGCTAGCTTGATCAACTCTCTAGATAGAGAGTTTTATGGTGCTTTCTGGATCATCCCATATATTTGGTCCTTTGTATATTACATTTGAACGTAGAATATGAGGGAGACACATTTAGATTTCACATTTTAAAAAATTAATTATTTATTTAAGACACACAGAGGTATCTTACCTGCTGATTCCCTCTCCCAAACACCTACAGTGGCCAGTACTGGTCTAGGTCAGAGCTAGGAACCAAGGACTCTATCCAGATTTCCCACATGGGTGGTGGGAACCTAACTACTTGAGCCATCATCTGCTACCTCCCAGGGTTTGCATAAGCAAGAGCAGAACTGGGACTTGAACTAGACATTCTGATATGATATGCAGGCCTCCCAGCTGGCATCTTAACTGCTAAGTAAATTGCCTGCCCCTAAATTTCACATTTTCTAAAGAAATCAAATACATTTTTTGTAAATGCCTATGTCGATCTATTGAGTTTCCCAAGACTGTAAATGTAAATTCTCTATCTCTACCTACTTAGGAATTTATGGATGTCCAAGAATGACTGCAATGGAGCAGGCTGAGGCCCAGCTCTCTGAGTTGGATCTGCTGTCCAGTATGTTCCCCGGTGAAAATGAGCTCATAATGAATGACCAGCTAGCTTTGGCAGAACTGAAAGACTGTATTGAAAAGAGGACAATGGAGGGGCGATCTTCGAAAGTTTACTTTACCATCAATATGAACCTGGAGATGTCTGAAGAAGCAATGGTAATTTTTTTTTTTTAAGATTAAAACCTGACAGGACTTAAAACAGTGCTTATAGTATTTTACTTCTTTTCTTTCTTTTTTAATTAGGGAATGTTTTCTCTGGCATGTATTCTTCCCTTTAAATACCCTGCAGTTCTGCCTGAAATTACAGTCAGGTATGTTAAAGCAACTCTGGCCAACTTTGGAGATAGAAATTAATCTGCCAATAGAAGTATTTCTCCAGTTTGTTGACAGTACCAAGAAAATTGATACATTTTTCTGTATCTTTTTCATCAGGTCAGTATTATTAAGTAGATCCCAGCAGACTCAGTTGAACACAGATCTGGCTGCATACCTGCACAAGTATTGTCTCGGAGATGTCTGTATCTTAAACGCCACAGAGTGGGTTAGAGAACATGCCTCTGGCTATGTCAGCAGAGAGGCTCTGTCTCCCTCTACCACAGGAAGCACAATCCAGACCATCGATCTCATTCTCACAAGACTCTGGATCTACAGCCATCACATCTACAACAAATGCAAAAGAAAGAATATTCTAGAGTGGGCAAAGGAGCTTTCCCTGTCTGGGTTTAGCATGCCTGGGAAACCTGGTGTTGTTTGTGTGGAAGGCCCACAAAGTGCTTGTGAAGAATTCTGGTCAAGGTTTGCTTTCACATATTTTGTATATCATGTCAATAACTTCAACACTCAAAGAAGTCCTAGGGATGTGCAACTAAGTATGTCCCTGGGGTTGTATCTTCATGGGGATTCACTGTCAAGGCAGTAGGTAAGGCAGAAATTGCACAAAATCAGCATCACCCTCCTCACCTGGCACACTGCATAAGGCAGACATTCTCTAATTAAATGGTGGAGGAATTGAGCCCCTGCCTAGGATGTAATCTAGGATCCTGTCCCATTTCTTCCTCATCTTAGTGATGCTGTACACTGTACACGCTGCGAAACAACGGACTTTCTAGAAGCATTAGAATTGCTTTCAGTCTTCTCATTTCCCTACTGAGTTCTGAGAAGTTATTTCAGTGAGTTTGTCATTGCCACAATTCTAAAAAAACTGATACAAGGAAATAATATTGGCAGTTATTGAGTTTAGGGATGGGGAATACGATGAGAATCATATTTGGTAAATCCTGGTGATATTATGGTGAATTACTTTTAGGGAGAGGCATGGATAAATATGTTTCCTAACTTTTATTTTCAGTGCCACATATGATACCACACATTTTGAAAACTTCTATTTTGAAAATTTCTTTTCAGACTCAGAAAATTAAACTGGAAGAGAATCTTAATTCGCCATCGAGAAGACATTCCTTTTGATGGTACGAATGATGAAATGGAAAGACAAAGGAAATTTTCCATTTTTGAGGAAAAAGCGTTCAGTGTTAGTGGAGCCAGAGGAAACCATATGGACTTCGGTCAGCTGTATCAGTTCTTAAATGCCAAAGGTTGTGGAGATGTTTTCCAGATGTTCTTTGGTGTGGAAGGACAATAACTGAGAAAAATGGTAGTTGAGAATAGTTTGTCACTGTTTGCCTTTTGATTTTTCCCCCCAGTGTATATTGATAAATTAAATAATTTAATTTTAGTCCCATTCTAAAATGCTGGGGGAAGAAGACAAAAAAATCAGTATAGCTGAAATGTATTTGTTAAAAATGCCTTGATTAGGAGTGGGTGATTATCCTAGTAGCTGAGGTACCCATGTCTCACATTGAAGCGCCTGGCTCAGAGTCCAGCTCTGGCTCCTGACTCCAGCTTCCCACCAATGCAGACTCCAGAATGTAATGGTGATGGCTCAAGAAACTGGGTTCCTGCCACGCACAAAGGAGACCTGGATTCTGTTCCCATCCCCTTGCTCTAGCCCCAGCCCAGCCACTGCAGACATCTGGGGCATGAATCAGAATATGGGAACTCTTTCAAATAAATTTTTGAAAATGTCATGATTTGAAAAGACTGAGTTTCAATTTATCTTAAAATTGTTTGATAGAAATTTCTTGACACATAAACTACCTATTTTGAAAGAGAAACTATGTAATAGTAATACTGGTGCTCCAACTTGTTAGCCAATCCTAACTCTCTTCTCCCTTACCTCATCCATAAAGAATCTGAAAAAGCAAACTGCTCACTCTTCTAGTCTTTGTTGCAGCTATGGGTGGTCTAATCATTTCTGGGACAACTTCAGCTTTCTGATTAAAGTGATACATGCAGGGACAACACTGGCATAGCAGGTTAAGCTGCCGCCTACAGCACTGGCATCCCCATATGGGTGCCGATTCCTATCCCAGCTGTTCCACTTCTCATCCAGCTCCTTGCAAATGCACCTGGGAAAGCAGCAGCAGATGGCCCAAGTGTTTGGGCCCCTGCACCCAAGTGGGAGACCCAGATGAAGCTTTTGGCTCCTGGCTTCAATCTGGCCTAGCCCTGACCATTGTGGCCATTTGGGGAAGACTTCTCTCTCCCTCTCTCTAACTTTACCTTTCAAATAAATACATAAATCTTTTTTTTTTTTTAAAGATTTATGTGTTTCTTTGAAAGTCAGAGTGTCACAGAGAGAGGAGAGGCAGAGAGAGAGAGGTCTTCCATCCGATGGTTCACTCCCTAGTTGGCCGCAACGGCCAGAGCTGTGCCAGTCTGAAGCCAGGAGCCAGGAGCTTCTTCAGGGTCTCCCACATGGGTGCAGGGGCCCAAAGACTTGGACCATCTTCTACTGCTTTCCCAGGCCATAGCAGAGAGATAGATCGGAAGTGGAGCAGCTGTACCACAGTGCCGGCCCCAATACACAAAATCTTAAAAAAAAAAAGTGATAGACACAGGGGCAGGTGTTAGTGGCACAGCAGGTCAAGCCACCACTTGTGATGACTGTGCCCCATATTAGTGCTGATTCTAGTCCTGGCTGCTTCACTTCCAATCCAGATTCCAGGTGCTGTATCCTGCAAGGCAAAGATGATGGGTCAAGTGCTTGGGCCCTTGCCATCCATGGGGAGACCCAAGAGGAGTTCCAAGTTCCTGGCCCAGTCCTTGCAGGTGTGGGCATTTAGGTAGTGAACCAGCAGATAGAAGATGTTTTTCTCTGTGTCTCTCTCTGTTGCTCTTTCAAGTAAATGAAAAATAAAAACATTAAAGAAAAATAATAGTTGCAAACTAGGCTACCTATTTTTGCTACAAACACTGAAATGACGGCTGGAGCTGGAGCTGGAGTAATCCTTCCAAATATGAGGGAAGGACCTAAAGAATCACAAAGATGCCAGTCCCCATGTTGTTGAGCTACCAATCTAATACCAGCGCTGCCTGTCTCTAGATACTTTTTTTTTTTTGACAGGCAGAGTGGACAGTGAGAGAGAGAGACAGAGAGAAAGGTCTTCCTTTTTGCCGTTGGTTCACCCTCCAATGGCCACCGCGGCTGGCGTGCTGCGGCCGGCACATCGCGCTGATCCGAAGCCCGGAGCCAGGTGCTTCTCCTGGTCTCCCATGGGGTGCAGGGCCCAAGCACTTGGGCCATCCTCCACTGCACTCCCTGGCCACAGCAGAGAGCTGGCCTGGAAGAGGGGCAGCCGGGACAGAATCCGGCGCCCCGACTGGGACTAGAACCCGGTGTGCTGGCGCCACAAGGCAGAGGATTAGCCTGTTGAGCCGTGGCGCCGACCAGTCTCTAGATACTTTTATGAAATAAAACACACCTTTGGAACAACGTACTTTCTTGCAAAATGCCTGTCTTGTGGCTTTGACTCCTCCCGTGACACAGTGTCTTCTGTGTCATCCAGCAGAGCATTACAGGATGCAGAAGACATCTTGATAATCAGCAGCTTTTCTCAAGTCCTCTTGATAGATGAGTCTTGGGGTCCATGCTGTGGCACAGTGGGTAAAGCCACCATCAACAGTGCTGGCATTCCAAACAGACGCTGGTTCAAATCCTGGCTGCTCCACTTTGATCCAGCTCCCTGTTGATGTGCCTGGGAAAACAGTGGAAGATGGCCCAAATCTTTGGGTCCCTGCACCCTTGTCAGAGACCCAGAAGAAGCTCCTGGGTCCTGGATTTGGCCTGGCCTACCTTCAGCTGTTGTAGCCGTTTGGGGAGTGAACCAGCAGATGGAAGATCTCTGTCTTTCCCCTCTCTCTCTTTAAAATAAAATTAATAAATAAATCTTTAAAAAAAAAAGAAAGATGAGTCATGCAGTCAGGAATTAACAATCTGGTCCAAAGCGAGAATCAACACAACACTCTGGAAACTTGGACCTTAGATGAAGAATGCCGTGACACACACATCATAACACATTTTCAGAATTTTTTGGTTTTAAGTAGATTACAACAGTTTATCAAATAGTAATTTAGAGCAAATTGGATTTTGACACATTGTTCATTCAGGAAATAGCTTTCCATAAAGCTTTTCCATAAAGCTGCAGGGCAGCCATGGGGTCAGAGGATGTCCTACTTTCAGCGGAACTAAAGTGCTACAACTTGTTGGTCTTTGTTTATTAACTTAATTTTAAAAATATGGCTATGCACAAATGTAGAGATCTCAAATGTAACATAAACACAGAATACAATCAAGTAGCCTTAAATCTGAGAGGAGGTCTGTTTCCAAAGAAAACTTTTAAGGCTACTTGATTGCAGGGATGTCAGACCCATGTTTTATAGGACATTTCATCTAAATCTAGTCATGGCCAGAGTCGTCAGAAACCGCAGGTGCACAGCTAGTCTTATCTGGATGTATGGTGGCATCACAGGAAGAAGTGGCATTTCCAGGGCAATGAGGAGGTGAGCAGCAGGGAAGGAATCTGGTCAGTTAGATTGTTCTACTATGTAGAGTCAGAAAGAATAAAATAGACCTATCTAATTTAGAAAGATCTTATATATAAAGGTGGTTAAACATAAGTGAGAATCAGAATTATATTTAAAGCACAGTGCCTATTTCAAGATACAGATATTCCAACTTCATGATTATTATTCTTTTGAAAATAGGTAAAAGTATTAGTCATCAGAAGAGGAAACAGCAAGTTGGATGGTCCTGAGTATGTTGTATAATCTAAGAGACACAATAAAACCAATTGTAGTTACATGTTGAATGCTAGCAATTTAACTTTCTTAGACTTCTACCAAAGATTATATACTTGATATATAAACTTTAAAGTTTGTGCAGTATGACTGCATGTGTATTGGTCCCACAGGGATAATATGTCAATGTATTAATCTTTTACACATGAATCTCTTGAGCTGGAATCATCTGTAAGGAAATAATCGTTATTCTTGGGAAAAAAAAAAGTCATAACTCAAATTTTGCCTATGTTCTAAAGAAACATAGTGTGGACAGGTAACCCTAATTACATGTCAATTTTTATTTGTAAAAATAATTGCTATGGCCAGTGCCGCGGCTCACTAGGCTAATCCTCCGCCTGTGGCGCCGGCACCCCGGGTTCTAGTCCCGGTTGGGGCACCAGATTCTGTCCCGGTTGCTCCTCTTCCAGTCCAGCTCTCTGCTGTGGCGCGCGAAGAAGCACCTAGCTCCTGGCTTCGGATTGGCACAGCGCTGGCGGGAGTGGCCATTTGGGGGGTGAACCAACGGAAGGAGAACCTTTCTCTCTGTCTCTCTCTAACTCTGCCTGTCAAAAAAAATTGCTATACAAACAACAGATTGTAAGTGTTAAAAAGCCAAAAATATTAAAATTGACCCTAGATCCAAATCAACTGAACTGTAAATAACACAGTGAAAGCCAGTCTTATCATTTGCACATTAATTTGATAAACTGCGTTTAAAAAACACTGTATATGCTGCTGTGCAGACCTGATAATTACACAAATACTCTGTTACACAGATTTTTTCTTCTCCCAAGAAGGATCTATACCAAGGAAACCTAACTAAATCGCTGGTGAAATTCCAGAAACGTCTCAGGGCAACCAAGAGTCAGTGGCAGTTCAGACAGCCCCTCCCCTGTCCAGCGGTCATTACACGTGCTTAGAACAAACTGAGTCCACACAACTGCTGCAAAGGCTACGGCGAGCTCTGCGCTGCAGCACAGTCTTGATCTGACGCCAGCTGGTAGGAAGAGGGAGGTGGATCTTACGGTCCTTTGCTCTACCGGCGCAGTGTCCAAGGCCGCTCGCTGCGAGGGAAGACAGGCGCCGGCTTCCCACAACCGTGCTGGGGCCGTGACTGACTGGAGGGTTTCCTCTGTGGCCCCACCGCACTCGCAAACGGTACCCAGCTATAAGCGCGGAGACGACCACGAGGCTTCACGCATGCGCCTGTCAGGGCCGGCGTGCCCCGGAAGCAGTAGTCGGTGGCGTGCCTGGCATTGTCAGCCGGGGCCTCTGGGTAGGTTGTGTCCCGTCGCCACAGCAACGAACTCTGCATTTCCTGGCTTGGCACTTGCCTGGAACTCCTACCTGAGTCCTTAGGTGTAGACTCGCAGTTCGGGGTTGGGGGGAATGCAGCTGTGTAACTGAAATGAACTTTTAAAGCTTATTTTTCCGAAAAAGAGGCAATGCTCAATATTCTTTGGGATTCCAGCGGGAGAATTAAAGAAAAGGTGTTCCTTGGTGTGGAGATTCACGGTTTCCCCCACGATTTTAACCAGGGGTTTACCAAAAGAATTTTTTTCTTTTCAGCAGCATTTCCGATTTTGTAAGCCTGTACTCCTTTGCCTCTTGTCTTCCCCCATTTTATATATGCGTCATTCACTTTTATTAGAAAAACAATTAATATAGAAAATATAGAAATAGCGAATTAATCCTTGAGGTGGATATTTAGCAAGCAGATAAAATGCCATTTGGGAGGCCAGCATCCCATTTGGAGTGCTTGGGTTCACTACTCCTGATTTCTGCTTCCTGCTAATGCTCACCCTGGGAGGCAGTAAGTCATGGCTCAAGTAGCTGGGCTCCTACTGCCTACCTGGGAGACTTGAACTGACTTCTGGCTCTCAGCCTCAGGCCTGGCCTAGCCCTGGTTGTTGTAGCATTTAAGGAGTGAACCAGGGGATAACAGAATGAGCTTTCTCTGTCTCTACCTTTAAAATAAATAATGAGCCTTAACCTGTGCACAAGACAAAACTGGACTGAATTTTAATTTTGCATTTTCTGGTATCTTATTTTTGCAAATATGGGCTTTTCAATTTTAAACCATACTGTAATTTCTACTTAGTGTCTACCTTCTTTCAGGAAACAATAGATCGTAAACATTTCTGTCTCATTAAATGTTTTTTTATTTCAATTTTTTTTGGGGGGGGAGTGTCACTCCCCCTCTTCGTGGAGGAGCAACACAGGACCCTGCGCTGTTCTTTCGTCTGCTCGGCCCTCCCCAGGTTTGTTGCTGGTTCTTCCCGGGTTGGCTACTATCCCTTCCACCTCCGTGGAAGGGCAGTTCCCCCTGGCCACATTCCCCACTTCCGCAGGGGAGCGGCACACCGCCGGCCGGCTCTCTCGGGGGCTGCACGGGTGTTCCTTCAGCTAGATGTTCCCCTTAGATGTTCCTGGTGCATGCCGTCTCTCTCCTCCTTTATAGTCCTCCTCCACCAATCCTAACTCGGCTGCCCACACGCCGAGTACGCTGCTCTCCTCCAATCAGGAGCAAGTCCTACAGTTTATTAGTTGAACTGGAGGCAGCTGTGCGGAAGCTGTTTACTTCTCTCCCAGCGCCATATTGTGGGAGAGCAGATGCATAGAATAAGTCCTAATTCGAGTAACTTAGTCTAGTCCGGATTGCTCCCCACAGATCCCCCTTTCTTTTTATTTTTTAGCGTTGATACGCGCCTGTCTTCGGTGTCCCGCGGCACACACTCTGCTCTACTTGCTAGAGTTGCCACAGGCTCTTACAAGTCCTATCAGGCAAACCGAATCCGGGTCCTCTCTTCGCCATGTTGTGAGGAGGTTTTTAGGCGCTGATGCGTGCCTGTGTTCGGTGCCCTGCAGCGCATGCTCTGCTCTGCTAGAACTGCCTGCAGGTGTTTACAAAACCTATCAGGCAAACCGAATCCAAGCCTTCTCATTGCCGTATTGTGGGGGAGACTTATTAGTGTTGGTTTGTGCCTATCTTCGGTGACCTGCAGCTCATACTCTGGTCGAGCTGCTTGCTGGCGCTTACCGCCTTAAATCAGGCAGACCGAATCCAAGCCTTCTAATTGCGGTATTGTGGGGAGGCCTTACTGATGTTAATTCGTGCCTGTCTTCGGTGACCTGCGGCGCATAAGCTGCTAGCCGCCCAGGTGCTCATCGCCTCACTAATCGGGCAGACCGAATCCAAGCCTTCTAATTGCAGTATTGTAGGGAGGCCTTTCTATTTCTCTATTTCTCTATCTCCGGGCATTCCTATTTCTCCCATTTTACTTCTGTCTGCCAACATTCCCATTTCTCTCACTTTACTTCTAAACTTCTGTTTCTCTTATCCCTGCGGCTTTCCGGCACCTCGCCCCGCCGGCGGTTCCCGGCTCTGCGCCGCTTCAGCCCGCGCGCCTCTCTCATCTGCGCAGCTTCCCGGCTTTGCGCGGCTCGGCTTCGCGCGCTCCGCGGTCTCCACGCTTAACCCTTTCGCGTCTGAACCACAGCCTCGCGCCAGCCCCGTTCCCTATCTATTCACGCCCCGTGCTCTCTGCACGCGGCGGCTTCCGCGAGTAACACAGCGTAGCTTACGTGTCCGCCACTAGCATTCAATCTAAGTTCCCCGGGCTAGCCTGGCGAATTCAACCCAGCGTACGTCTCCGCCCCACGGTTTGGCTTCCCGTCCTTTGCTCCCCGGGCTAATCAGACGGATCCCAACCAGGCTCACGTTTCAGCTTCTGGTTTCAACTTTTCGCCCCCTATTCCCGGGCTAACTTGAGAATCCCAAAGTGGCTTTCGTGTCCGCCTTGGCCTGCCCCCCGCGGCTTCAATTTCCCTAACATTTTTCTCTACCCGGTATGTTTCCCCAAACTTTCCTCCAACGATATTCCTCCCTCATTTCTCCTGGCCTCTCCCCACAGTCCGCGTCCGAGTCTGTTTGTTCTAGCTTTCACTTTCGCTTTCGACCTTAGAGATTTCTCCCAGCTTCCCCCCGTAGTCCGTATCCGAGTCTATGCCTAGGCTTTCAATAGCTTCTTCCGGCACCCTTTTCGTCCGGCTTTTCCCTAGGCTGTTTGCTAGTCTCTCTCTCCGGTAATTTCCCATTTCTTCCCGTTTCTTCCCTCCTAAGTTTGCTATCCGTCCTAGGTTTCCTAATCCGAGTCACGGCACCATTATGTCGCTCCCCCTCTTCGTGGAGGAGCAACACAGGACCCTGCGCTGTTCTTTCGTCTGCTCGGCCCTCCCCGGGTTTGTTGCTGGTTCTTCCCGGGTTGGCTACTATCCCTTCCACCTCCGTGGAAGGGCAGTTCCCCCTGGCCACATTCCCCACTTCCGCAGGGGAACGGCACACCGCCGGCCGGCTCTCTCGGGGGCTGCACAGGTGTTCCTTCAGCTAGATGTTCCCCTTAGATGTTCCTGGTGCATGCCGTCTCTCTCCTCCTTTATAGTCCTCCTCCACCAATCCTAACTCGGCTGCCCACACGCCGAGTACGCTGCTCTCCTCCAATCAGGAGCAAGTCCTACAGTTTATTAGTTGAACTGGAGGCAGCTGTGCGGAAGCTGTTTACTTCTCTCCCAGCGCCATATTGTGGGAGAGCAGATGCATAGAATAAGTCCTAATTCGAGTAACTTAGTCTAGTCCGGATTGCTCCCCACAGGGGAGGGGAACAGGCAGAGTGGACAGTGAGAGAGAGAGAGAGGAAGGTCTTCCTTTTTCCGTTGGTTCACCCCCCAATGGCTGCTGCGGCTAGTGCGCTGAGGCCAGCACACCACGCTGATCCGATGGCAGGAGCCAGGTGCTTCTCCTGGTCTCCCATGGGGTGCAGGGCCCAAGCACTTGGGCCATCCTCCAGTGTACTCCCGGGCCACAGCAGAGAGCTGGACTGGAAGAGGAGCAACCAGGGCAGAATCCGGCACCCCGACCGGGACTGGAACCTGGGTGCCGGCGGGTGGAGGATTAGCCTATTGAGCCACTGCGCTGGCCTTATTTCAATGTTCTTTAATTACTTAAATAACTTGACAGAGAGAGAAAGAGCTCTCATCCTGTGATTCACTCCTCAAATGCTTGAAATACCAGGACTATGATAGACAGAAACTGAGAATTCAATCAAGATCCCCCACATTGGTAGCAGAAACTCAAGTATTTGCACAACATCACCACTTGGGATAGGTGTGGGCACATAAACTGGTGTCTTCACTGTTGGACCAAACCCCTGCCCCTTTATTTTGTTTTCGAAATCTTCACACTGTTTTCCTGCAATGGCTGAATTTACATTCCTACAATTCCATTGACTGTTCCATTTGCTATATAAAAACTTACTAATTTGATAAAATCTCATGTCTATTATTGCTTTTGTTTTGTGTTTGGTGGTTTTATCCAAAATTTTTGCCCGCCCTAATACCTCTGTGTTTACTTCCAGTTATTTTAGTTTTAGATGTGATATTTAATTCTTTGGGCTATTTTTTAAAAGAGCTTATTTTTAAAGATCTTTATTTTTTGGCAAGATAGAGCTTGAGGTGTGGGGGGAGTGAGTGCCAATATTCTTCCAGGTGCTGGTTCACTCCCAAAATGACTGCAACTTCATCTTATTCTCCCAGATAGGCAGGGGCCCAAGCATTTGGGCTATCATCCACTGCCTACTCAGGTGAATTAGCAATAAGTTGGTTTGTAACTTGGACTGGCACTCTGATAAGGGACTCCAGCATCCCAAGCAGTGGCCTAACCCACTGTGCTACAGTGTGGGCCCTAAGATGTTTTTATTTGAAAGGCAGAGTGACACAGAGATCATCCATCTACTGATTCACGCCCCAAACGGCAATGCCATTGGGGTGTCCCTCATGGTTGGCAGAAACACAAAAGACTTGAGCCATCATCCACTGCTTCCCAGGTATATTGGTAGGAAGCCGGATGGAAGTGGAGTAGAATGGACTTGAACTAGCACTCTGATATGGGATGCCAGCATCAGAGGTGGCATTTTAACCCACCTGTTTAACACATATCAGAGTTCTATGCCAGAATGTCTGTCCCTAGAGTCCATAAATTTTTTAAAAATTTATTTACCTGAAAGAGAGAGAGAGAGAGAAAGAGATCATCCATCTGTTGGTTTACTCCCCAAATGCTCACAACAGCCAGGATTGAGATAGGATGAAGTCAAGAGCCCATCCAAGTTTCCCAAGTGGGTGGCAGGAACTCAAGTATTTGAGCCATCATCTGCTGTTGCTAAGACGTATTAGCAGGAAGCTGGATTGGAAGTGGAGTAGC